AGTGAGAACATCAGGTAGGGAGACACATCTGTACAGCCTTGGGTTCTTAAATTTTATTAGATGTTTTTCCTCTTTGGAAAATAATATCCAGCTTGTCTCTAGGGAGATGGACAAATGATTAGAAAAGCCACCTCCGGGTACCCTGGGTGGCTCAGCGGTTTAGCGTCGCCTTCAGCCCAGGGCCTGATCCTGGAGACCTGGGATTGAGTCCCATATTGGGCCCCCTGCATGGAGCCTGCTTCTCCCTTTGCCTGTGTCTCTGCCTGTCTCTGCCTCTCTCTCTCTTTCTATCTCTCTGTCTCTCATGAATAAATAAAAATCTTAAAAAAAGAAAAGAAAGCAAAGAAAGAAAAAAGAAAGAAAAGGAAAGGAAAGAAAAGAAAAGAAAAGAAAAAAGAAAAGAAAAGAAAAGAAAAGGAAAGAAAAAAGAAAAGTCACCTCCCTAAAATGCCAACTTTGTTTAGGAGTCCAGGATAAAAAAAGAATCCCTGCCTGAAAAGGTTCGGTTAGTCTAAGTAGATGTGGTACAGCAGGCACTGTTGATGGCCTACCCAGCACCTATCCCTCTCCATCCACAGGTATCTAGGTCAACAGGGACTGGATAGAACAGCAAGCACCCAGGCAGGTACTCCCTCCAATACTATTCTTAAATAACTATTTAACTTGTGGCATTTGGGTGGCTCAGTCAGCTGAACATCCACTCTTGATCTCAGGGTCATGAATTCAAGCACCATGTTGGGCTCCATGCTGGGAGTGGAGGTTACTTAAAAAATAAATAGGGGCATTCAGGTGGCTCAGTTGATTAAGAGGCTGCCTTTGGCTCAGGTCACGATCCCAGGGTCCTGGGATCAAGCCCCTCCTGGGGCTTCCAGCTGGATGGGTAGCCTGCTTCTCCCTCTCCAGGGCTTGTGCTCTCCCACTCTCTCCCTCTCTATCTCATAAATAAATAAATAAATATACAAACAAACAAACAAATAAATGTTTAATATAGCGGAGTCGGGAAGAAGTAGATTTTCTATTAATACTTTACTAGAAACAAATTAACCTGAGTGTTCACTAACTGAAGCAGAGCCAGTATTTGTGAAAACATAAACCCAGTCAGTTCACTTTTTCTCTAGCTCTCCTTCCTTTTCTAGCTATCATGATTTTTTTTTTGAACTAGACAAGTTCCTTAGAGGCACACTGAGGGAATTACAAAAATGTAATACAAAAGATCATACTATGTACACAGCACTATTCACACATTGGTTTTAAAATCTCTGTTCTGCTGGCTTTGTTTAGGGTTAGTGCTTGTGGATGTTACAGAAAAATTCACTAGCATTACAGATCTGCCTTAGAAAGGAGTTTTGTTGTTTTCCAAATTTCCCCTCAAGGGCAGTATTTCGGAGGCGGCCACTTTATACTTTTGTAATTTGTTCCAGTGATAAGCGTCATTTTACAGATCCGCATACCACAATAACTAAACTGGTTGCTCATCCTCAATCTGGCTGTGGGTCACAGATGAGATACAAGATAAGCACTGAAACAGTGGAATGCAAAGTGCTATGGAGCAGAGGGAAAAAAATCGCTTTTTTTCTGAGGCTGGTGAGAAGGTAGTTCGTATAGTAGGGGAAAGCATGGAAATTTGAGCCAGAAAACAGGCTCAGCCACATAAATTGCCATGCCCAGTGCAAAAGGAGGACGTGGAATTCCTTGTCACACAATTATTAAGAATCACTTGGGTGGCTCAGTTAAACCTCTGATCCTTGATTTCAGCTCAGGTCATGATCTCAGGATCATGAGATCAAGACCCACGTCAGGTTCCATATTGGGCATGGAGCCTACTTCGGATTTTCACTCTCTCCCTCTGCCCCTCCCCCACTCCCAATCACAGGCTCTGGCTCTCACACACACTCTCTCTCTCTAGACAGTGACAGCAGAGCACTAAACCAAATGTGGGGCCACCATGCAAGTGACATACCTATGAGGCTGGCCCCGCTACAGAGAGTGGAGTTCAAACCTTTCTCCTCCCCCACCCCACCCCAAGCAAAACTCCCTGGCTTTGGGCAAGTCCCTCCCTGAATCTCACTTTTTTCATCTGTTAACAGTGATAAATGAACTTTCTTTGAAGACCTAGTATGTGGCTGAAATGAAAAGCATTTGACACATGATAGGTTCACATTCTTCTTACATTCTTATTCCATATTTTGGGCTCTGGTGTGAAATGTTGGGGTTTGGGAACAGTCAAGGATTCTTGAGACGTCTTTGGTGCAAAACAGGTGGTTTTATTAAATCACAGGGACAGGATCTGTGGGCAAAATCTGCAGTGGGATTGTGGGAAGAGACTGATTATATATTTTTAAGTTGGGAATGGATTAGAGATCTTAAGTCTGTAAGAAATTTGGAAGCAAGGCTTCCAGGACCTTGCAGGGCTAGCTGCTGTTAGGATAATGTCATTCACTACTGTCAAATAAAATCTTTTTTTTTCTTTTTTTTTTCAAATAAAATCTTAATCATGAGATCCTTCAGATGTTTATCAGTGGACTATATGTTTGGAGGATGATTGCTAACATATATCTTGGTGGTGGATATAAAGGAAGTTTCCAAAGGGATTTTTTATATGTTAAAGAAGACTTAAAGGATCCTGGAGGTCAGGCTAACGTCCAGCTAAGGTTACCTTTGCCTCTAGCAAAGTATTGAGGCAGCTGAGTTCCTGGAAGAAACTTACTCTCCTTGTTCCAAGTACTCGTCAATGGCTCTAAGTTGTAAGGAAGTTTAATTTTTCCTACATTTCTTTTACCTTTGTTCTCCACCTTAGGCTGTTTGATTCAATTCTGTAGACATCCATCTTTGACCCTCTCTTCTGATTACTCACTTTCCTTTTACTGTATTTCAAAAGGGTATTAGAATGATCAGGAAATAGTCAATAGCTAATCATTGATTACCCATAAAGTGGCAATTTCATGTTGTACAACCTAATACAAATGCCTTAGCATGACTGAACAGTACTGTCCTCAGACCTGGGCACCTGAGACCCCTCCTTTGAGCCCATGTTCTAGGGGACATACGTCCCTGTCCCCCTACCTTACCCACCTCTCTGCACTCTTCTAGGTGCACCCTTCCCCACCTAAAGAGGGGTATCATGGGCTAAGCCCTCTATTAAACCACTCTTCGATACCAGGACGGCTGTTTCCGATTCCCACCTTGCCTCTGCCCAGGAGTTGCTGCCTCCGCAGAGATCGGGCATAAAATTTCAGCAAATTACACCACCTCCGGACAACTTGTTGGGCTTGAGCGTGGAGGTTGGACAGGCACAAAGGGCTGGGGGGGATGGTGGCAGAAAGAAACGGATGCTGGCACGCATGTGCACCAGGCACCATGCAAAGACGCCCAAACCGGGCTGGGAAAAGAGGGGTGATCTGTGTGGCTGTATTTGTTCGCTTGCCCTCTCCACTATATATATATATATATATATATATATATATATATATATATATATATATACACACACACACACACACACACACACACACACATATATACTTTTTTAACTCTATGACTTTCTACTCCATGCTGTCTCAAACCTTTCTCCCTTTCTTGTACTGGTGAAATTCTAGTTATTTAAGAACCAGCTTACATACCAACTCCTGTGTTAGTCACCCCTGCCATTCAATCCTCTCTACCTTCCTGAGCTTTACCCCAGGCAGAGTTAGCTGCTGTGTGTGTGTCTGTGATTTACCTGCTGTGATCTTATAAAGCTCTTGGGAAAACACATTACATTGTACGTAATTGCTTTTTGCCCCTAGACTCGACCGTGTGGGAGCTCTGACAGGGCAGAAAGGATGCTTCTTCATGCTTATTCTTGGCACTCAGTGGAGTGTTGTCATCAAAATCCCAGTTCTCCCAGTGATCAAGTGGCCTTGGGCAAATCCCAGTTTCCTCTTCTTTGAAATAGAAATAAACATAATGACCTTCTCGAATGGTAATTTAATCCTGTGGATTAAATAAGTAAAACAAGCCATTCAAAGTGCTTCAGCACGATACATAGTATGAGTTCAATAAGGGATAGCTATAATTAAATTAGCTCCTATATTCTGATTCTTGGTAATGTGTAAGAGCAAGTAAATAGTCCTTTCAAGCCAACAGCATGGTTTCTTGGAATTTGTATTTAATACCACAATCTTAAAGGATTGTGAAAAAATAGGTTTTAAAAAACTGCCTAAGGTAAAGTGACACTCAAAAATTGTTTGTTAAAAAGATACTAAGTAAAGTTAGTAAATCCAAATTATTAGGTAACTCTTGGGAACTTTGGCACCAAATGGGTAAGAAAAATACTATATTACAATCTATTTTGAAAGGTATGTTTACATATTGACTAAAAATAGGGAAATAAGGAAGCACAGTATATTTTTATAACTGCCTCTTTAAGAACTTTTTATAAATATATGTAATAACTATTATGTTTTTATATATCTACAGTTATTCCTACAAACGTGCTGTAAGTATGCATACATATTTCAGTTAGATGATTTTTTAAAAAGGAAAAAGTTAAATATAAATAAATAAAAAAGGAAAAATTAATTGCAAGGAAATAAGGCTAATAGAAACAAAACAATCACTATGCATTTCTTTATATATCATACCCAGTCTGCTCTGACTTATTACCCTAAGTTGGGGCCCTTTGTCTATTAGCATATTATGCAGTATTAAATGAAACTACTGATACCTGCATCCCTGCACCTCTAAATCCTGTTTTTATTAAGGAAAAAAACCCCAAGAAAATGGAAAGTGATCTAAGCTTGCAGGAAAGATGGAAACTGGTTGATTTAACTTATTTGAATCTTACTGCTCATGTAGAATGACTGTAATAAAGTTTGCCTACTTTGATAAAGACCTTAATGATTTCAATCCTTGTTTTCCAAGCTAGTGCAAGCAAAATAAGATCAAAAGGATACTGCTGTAAAGCAGGTGAAGCAAGCAATTGTTTGCCAGTTGCAAAATCAGACACTTTCTTCTTCAAGCTCTCCATGCTATTTTATTGTGCTATTAACTGTTACAATTTATATTTTCAACTAAGGGAGACTACAAGTCTACCTATCAACAAGGGGGAGCTATGCAAAACTGTCTTCACAATAGTACATCTCATTGCACATTGAAGATTCACTTAAGTTCACAGCTGCTAATGTAAACTATTAGGATTTTTGAAGATATCTTGGGTTGAGAATGAATAAGTTAGGAGGAAGATGAAGATAATGATAGCAAATTTAGGATTTCAAAGGCACAGGAAGAAATCTGATACATCTTGTGTATTTTAGGTGGTAGGACTGAAGATTAGGGCTACCCTTACAATAGTAACAACCACAACATCACAGTAAAGTGGCTTTTCTTTGAATCACCCTTTGTGCTTTAAAGTATAATAAATGGAAAACCAACTTTTCTCTTGCAATGCTACGGCACAAATATTTAAATTCTAAATGAGAGGAAAGAGGAAACTGGGATTCCTATGGAAAGAGATGGCGGAGTTTGGCGTTGAGTTCTCTCTCCTTGCTTAAAAGATCCAGGCTGTGCTTTTTGAAGGCTTCAGACTGCAGCTGGAGTTCGTCGTAGGCCTTCTGGATCCCATCTACCCTGCGCTGAAGTTCCCGGACTCTCAAGTTGCTGTCCACGGCCACTGCCTCTTGCTCAAACCTCTCCAGCGCGTGCCTCCTGGCCACATCTGCGGTCTCCAGCTTCTCCTCGAGCTGGCGGATCTCTGCTTGCTTGTTCTGAAGCACCCTGCCCCTCTCCATGGACAGCTGCAACAGCTCGTCCTTCTCTCGGGTGACCGTCTGCAGCCTGGCCTGCAGCTCCCGGTTCAGGCTGCTGTGTGCCCGCTCTGCCTCTGCCATCTGCTCCACCGCCTGCCGCTGCTGCTGCTGGAGGCTCTGCAGCTGGCTGCGCAGCTGCTCTGTCTCCTTGGTGTGGGCGCAGGCCTGCTGATTCTGCAGCTCCAGCAGCTCCTTCTCTCTGGCCTGGGCCTGGCAGGCATCCTGAGCACACCTCTGTTTCAGAGTCTCCAGCTCCTTGGAGAGGGCCTCGCTGCGGGCAGTGAGCTGCAACACTATGGCCTCCTGGTCCTTCAGAGCCTGACTGAACAGGTTGCTGTTCTCCAGCCTCAGTTTCTCATTCTCCTCCCTGAGCTTGACGTTCTGACTCTTGTGTTCGTCCTTGAAGCGTATCATCAACTCGTGGTTGGCTGCCAGGGTCATAAAGCGTTCCTCCAGCTTCTGGGCATGCTGGCTCTTGGCCTTCAGCTGCTCGGCCTCCAGCATCCTCTTCTCCTCCAGCTCTGTGTTGAGCAGCTCCAGGGTCTGGCAGCGTTCCAGGGCCTCATCCGACCTCCGCTTCAGGATGCAGATGAGCTGGGACTGCTCCTGGATGCGGGAGCAAAGCATCGCCTTCTCGCTCTTCTCCTCCGCAGACAGCCCCCGGAGGTTTGCCAAGGCCTCCCTCAGACCGTCCAGTTCCTTAAACTCCATCTCCTCTTCCGGCTTTTCTAGTTTTTTGTTTTGCTTCTCTAAGGGCTCTTCAGTGGGCGCAGGGTCCATCCTGAGAGGCTTCTCTTCTTGAGGCATAAGCGCATAGGCCTCCTCCACTAGCCGCTGACCCGCTGACCCCGCAGTGCTTCCCCCGCGGACTCAAAAGCCTCGGCGTGTTGCTAGGGCCTCCCCGCGCTCCCCGCAGCAGTTGCTTTTCCCAGCAAGGAGCCCTGTGATTGGCGGCGGGCAGGTCATCGGAATGCTGTGAGGTGACAGGCAGATCTGGGGGAGGCCAGAACCAATCTGCTCTGCCTCTGCTTGCCTCCGAGCAAATCCCAGCTCTGGCTCCCAGCTCTGGCTCCCAGCCCGGCGTCGGGCTGTCCTGGACAGGGAAGAGATGCCAAGCTCGCTGGGGTTCCAGCCCGCTCAGGGGGTAAAAAAAAACTTGACTCTACCTAATTTCTGGGAGGAGTAAACAAATCGGGCTGACGGTGACGTATGCTTCCTCCCTCTCGCCTCTTCAGTGATCATGAGAATAAGTTACCGTCTCTGGAAACACCTTTGCTCCTTAACAATCTGCAATCTATAAAAACAAAGTAGGGATCCCTGGGTGGCGCAGCGGTCTGGAGCCTGCCTTTGGCCCGGGGCGCGGTCCTGGAGACCCGGGATCGAATCCCACGTCGGGCTCCCGGTGCATGGAGCCTGCTTCTCTCTCTGCCCTCTCTCTCTCTCTCTCTCTCTCTCTGTGTGTGTGTGACTATCCTAAGTAAATAAAAATTTAAAAGGAATTATAAAAACAAAGTAGCAGCGCTGCTGTGAGAGCCAGGATCCTAAGTGGCTGTTCCACCTGCAGTGCTCAGAGAATGAGAATTTCCTTTGTTTCCCTTACCATTGTCCTCGGCTGGGAAACCCTCTTATTATTCAGTATTCCCTGTTTTTTTTTTTTTTTTTTTTTACCCATTAGCAAAATAAGATTACAGAAAGCAGCTTAATGAACGATGTAGATATGAAAAACATTAAAACCGAAAAAAGATCCGAGGGACACTTAGCATCATATACCAATTCCAGATGAACTAGACTGTTCAGTGTAACATGTAAAATAAAATCCAAGTGTTAAAGATAGTAACTAGAAGAAAATAAAGGCAAGTATAAAAACTCTGGGTCGGGGCACCTGGGTGGCTCAGTGGTTGAGCATCTGCTTTTGGCTCAGATCATGATCCCGGGTCCTGGGATCAAGTCCAGCATATGGCTTCCCGCAGGGAGCCTGCTCCTTCCTCTGTCTGTGCCTCTGCCTCTCTGTGTCTCTCATGAATAAATAAAATCTTTGTTTTTTTTTTAAAAAAAAAAAAACTCTCTGGGTCAGAAAGGACTTTCTTAGCTTAAATATTATATAAAAGGTAGGGGAAAGCTTAATTTTGCTGAACATTTAAAGTTATATGTGACTTACATAAAGTTATATGTAAAGTTATATTGTGAGCTCTGGGGTCTCTCCAGCGTCTTGTTCCTCAGAACCTGACTTTTTATGCCCTAGTCCAACCCAACCACTGAAGCTCCCCTAACCGACCAGCTCTCTGGCCATGTTTGCAGGTGTTCTCCTCACCTGGAATGACTTCCAACCTTGGCCCTGTTGCTCTCCATATGTACTCCGCAACAGCAGTCGGTTTAGAAGCATCTCTTCTGTGAAGCCATTCCTGGCCCCTACATGTGGAATGGACCACTCACCGCTTTTACTGCTGTAAAAAAGTTCACTATGGACTGCTCATACTTCTAATGGAAACTGATAGCCCTACTGCACTCACTGCTCACCTGCCTGCCTTCCCCTACTAAACCCTGAGATCGTTAAGAGCAAGGGCTGCATCTGTGCTATCCTTGATACTTGACAGGTGCCTGGGACTTTGGGAAAGCTTAAATAAACGTGTGTTGAATGAATGTTGAAGGCAAATTTCAAACTGGGAAAAATATCCACCATAAAGATGACATGATAGATTTATATTTTTGCAGAGAGCCTGAACAAATCAATAAAGTATTAACATCTTAAAAGAGAAATGAACAATTAAGTTCACAGATGAGGGGGTGGATATGGCTATTGAAAACTAGAAATAATTTCATCTATTAATTTTGCTAAATTTCCCCCTTATTTTAGGACTACCCAGGATGGGTGAGACTATAGTGAAACAGGTACTCTCTCATACTTTCATACATATTGAGGACTTCAAACATTTTTATGACTTTTGAACTAATGGATTGCCCTTCTGGGGAGAAATAATCCGAAAGTTTTGCTCAAAGCTTTTCATGGCAGTTGTTTATAACAACTAAAAGCTGGAAACCTAAATATTCCCAAGAGAGAAAATGTTAAATTATATTTTCTTAGAATGTTATGCAGCCATGAAACATTATCATGTTTATAAGTAATTTGATGGTATGAAAATATTTATGCTAGAAAGAACTGCAAAACAAAAGATAAAAAAAATTCAGAATGATCTTTTTTTTTAATACTTTTTTTTTTTATTTATGATAGGCACACAATGAGAGAGAGAGAGAGGCAGAGACACAGGCAGAGGGAGAAGCAGGCTCCATGCACCGGGAGCCCGACATGGGACTCGATCCCGGGTCTCCAGGATCGCGCCCTGGGCCAAAGGCAGGCGCCAAACCACTGCGCCACCCAGGGATCCCCGATTCAGAATGATCTTGCTGGGAAAACTCAAGCACAGAGTGATGGGTTGATGACTCCTACAAACTGTTTCTGATGTTGAGATTTAATCTCTCAAGTCATGATGATAAGGAAAAAGCCTGGGTGTCATCACAGATGTTGGATGCATTTTCAAATGCTTCAGATTTCACCAGAAGCAAAACAGATGAGGAAGAGGTTTCAAATTTTCACTTGGGTGTCAAAGACTAGAGTCTCATGTCTATAAAAGAAAAGCAACATTGGAAGACTGGGGAAATTTCCTGAGCTGAAATTTTAATAACTACTGCAATTATAGGATACTGAGGTTTTATGAAAGTGGATTCCAAAGACTTCAAAAATGTGAATTAAATTTATTCTCCCCCTCATTTCTCTTCTTTTCCTTAAATTTCAAGCTCATATACTGAAATGGAACTTGTGAAGTTGAGACAAGTGACTAGAAAATTAGAATACTTCTCGTCATTTAAATAAAAAGTCACACATATATTGAATGTATTGCTGATTACCACATATGGTTGTCTGATGTAGTAAAGTGAATTTACAGAATATGTTTCTTAAGGTAAAAAAAAAAAAGATGACAGGGAAAATACTCAAAGTGGTTAATAGCAGTTGTTTCTTGAAGGATGAGCTTCTGGATGCTTACCCCCCCACACCTTTCTATGTCCCTTGTACATAGTGGATACTCGATGGTATTTGTAGACTAAACAGATTTCCCACATTAAAAATATTTTACATTTATGTGTTAAAATTATTTTAAATAACTAAGTCCACAGAATGAATACTTGTCAAGTCTAAAAACCTCATAAGACTCTAATCAACATTCATTCACTGATTTGCTCAACAATACAGTGCAAGATGCTAAGTAAACAAATAAATTAGATACCATCTGTCTTCTCAAAGAACTTGCAGTTTAGTAATGCTTTTAGGCTCCTCTCTGGATGGTGGTTGTCCTCGTTCTACCATTTTCTCCCCACATACCTTTGAACCTGAAAGTATCCAGTATTTCCTCCCCAGAAGTCCAAGGCATAAAACTAGGCCAATACTCTCTCTGGTGGTGACCAGAGTCCCTTCCCATTGCCTTTGTTGAGTCTTTTGATGTCCTTTTTTTTTTTTTTTTTTTTGAAGCTACTATTTAGAGTTATTCTATACAAAAGTACTAGGCATTTGTACATCTTCTCTCATTTAACTCTAACAATATACCTGAGAGGTAGGCATTATCATCTACATTTTCTATTTTACAGGAAACAAAGAAACGAAGGCATAGAGAGGTTAAGCAAGCTACTCCATGTCACCCAGAGAGTGACAGAGCCAGAATTCAAACCCAAATCATTTTGATACCAAAGGTGGTTCTCTTGGTCACTCTGATGTTCTAAAGTTCAGGGATCTGAGGATAGGAAAAGGCACGCAGTCCCAGGGGGAGACGATAGAACCAATCTCATGTTTCAGAGCCAGCTGGATGCTGGAAGGTGGCTGAGCAGATAACTGAAAGAAGGGCTGAGAAAGAAGCTGGTACCATGAAGTGGCAGGAGCTGGAACAAGATTTGCATTTCTGCCACTATTCCTGGCCAGCCTGGGAGGTGTGCTTCCACTCAGCTCATCTTGCCCCTCCCTGTGCTCAGAACAGAATCAGGACCTGGAGCTGGACTACACATCTCCCTAAAAGACTTTGAGAGAGAGTGGGAAGGGTGTTGTTGAGGTTAGCCACTCTTACTGGCAAGTGGGTAGAAGATTCTAACATCTTTAGAGGAGGCAAGCACTCTAGTCTTTTTAAAAATTTTATTTATTTATTTATTTATTTATTTATTTATTTATTTGAGAGAGAGAGAGAGAGAGAGAGAGAGAGAGAGAGCAAGTGCACACAAAAGAAGGGGCAGAAGGAGAGGAAGAAGCAGACTCCTCGCTGAGCAGGGAGCCCAACGTGGGGGCTTGATCCCAGGACCCTGAGATCATAACCTGAGCCGAAGGCAGATGCTTAACGGACTGAGCCACCCACGTGCCCCTCTAGTCTTTTTCAATGACATTTGCTAGACACTTATTGTAAGGTTTCACACTCCTGAATGTCCAGGTTCCCCCTGACCTATGTTTAAATTAGTGCTTGTTTTGAGAAAGACAACCACGTTGGGTCCTAAGGAAGAGTAATGTTTTATATATTAAAATGATCCAGAAAATGTCTCCGTGGGAAACTTTTCAAAAATAAATGTTAACCTACCTTCAATGCTTTTCAATTACTTTTGTAAAATAAAAATTCCACTTTCAATAACATAGCCAGAGCTTCTCACTTAGAGGAAATGATGTCCAGAGCTGCAAGTAAAGACTTAAGAAATATTAGCTCAGTAGTTCTTTAGCCTTGCGAGAAAATTTACATTTTAGGATTCCTGACATAAAGTATTTCACTCAAAATAAGAAGTCAGGTTAACTTGACCACACAATTAAATCATGTAATAATTTATTCTAAGGGTTTTTACAAAATACTTTATGAAAATTATACATACATAGGAAGTACAGTTTAACAATTTACATTCTAATTAAAACTTTGTTGCAAAGCATGTCTGTGACCACTCTCATGCTCATTTCATATAGTAGGGTTATAGGAAAAACAGAATCTTGTATATGCAAAGTTTTGTTTGTTTTTATATAGTCTATTACAAAACACAGGCTTGGGATCTTAGGAGAAAATTAAGCCAAAAGCTGAATTCCACCTATGAGCCAGTGGGTGGCACCAAAGCACATCTCAGACTTTGACAGGGGAACACAGAAAAGCACTTTCAAAGGCAGACATACATGCAGTAAATTCAGTCTCATGGCCCTAACCTGCAATTCCACATTTTAATAGAGATTGCAGAGTAAATAGTTTCCTTAGGGTTAAATTCTTTATTATCACTGATATTCTTCCTTTTTCCCCCTTATAGGAGCATTTTTCTGTCCCTCTTTTCCAAAAACTACGTATTTTTCAGTTCCTGTGAGGGTTTCCAACCATTGAGTAGCTGGCCCTCCTAATTGTAGCACAGGGTTGGTGGTGTGAAACACAGGATGGCAAACTAGAATATTTTGCTGGCTAAAAACCCCAACATTTAATGTTTTGGGACAGCTTTTTCTCTGAAGCAGCAGCAACTGTTTGCTTTTCCTCGCTTTCTCAAATATCTTCTTTAATGTTGAAGTCACAAATAAGTTACACATTTTATTATGAGTTAAGTCTCTTGGGCACATGCAGGTTGACTTTACCATGCTGTGTGGCATCCATTAGTGGTGAGAGGCAGCAGGTGAGAATCTGTCCATATAGTCAGATTTTCAAGATCAGATTCTACCTGTTTAGTAGTTTTCAGTGGAGGAGCCAGTCGACTTCGGGATCATTTTGAAATCTTGGCAATCAACAGCATTCTGAGAGGCAGGGTTGCTTCAATCCAAGTGTTGGGGGAATTTACCATCTTTTCCCAGAGAGCAACTTCTTCTGATGTAGAGTCCATCCAATCCACTTCAGTACCATAGCTTTTACCTGAAAAAGAAAGAAAGAAAGAAAGAAAGAAAGAAAGAAAGAAAGAAAGAAAGAAAGAAAGAAAGAAAGAAAGAAAGAAGAAAGAGAAAGAAAGAAAGAAAGAAAGAAAGAAAGAAAGAAAGAAAGAAAGAAAGAAAGAAAAGCAAGCAAGAAAGAAAGCTTTGCATTTAGAAAGGAATAGTTCATTGGGGAAAAAAAAAAAAAACCCTGGACCATCCCCTAATTATAATAATCAATGAAAGAGAGTGAGGAATAGTTTTAGTATTACTAGGAGGGCAGATCTGGGGCTCAATATAAGAAAAAACTATTTAACCACCTGAGATGCCCAATAATGGGGCATTCCATAATTGGGACTATAATTGGAACTATTCCCTCTACTCACAGAGTAGATTTCTCTTCATGTTTATAGAAGTTCTGGCTGACCACCAATCAGGGACATAGTGGGGTAGTAGGGAAGGTTGGAAGTTAGACAATCTCTAAGGAAGTGTAGTTTGAGGTTTAGTGTCTAACAGGCTCAGCTTTGAATCTTGGGTCTGATACTTATTAGCTCTGTTACTTCATTTCTTAGAATAACATTAGTAATAACTCATGGGCTTTCTGTGAAGATGAAATGAAATAATATAAATACAGCATTCAGTACAGTGACTAGTGCTCATTATTATGAGTTATTATGATTATTTTAAGCACACTTCTAGTTAGAAAAGGACATAAATGTTTTTTCAGGGAAGAGTAGTAATGAAGGCTTTTCTGTACTTCCCACACACAATAACTTAAGCTTTGTGTGGATAGACACTACAACCCGTTAATCTTTGTATCTAGAGCCCTTGGCATACAGCCTGACATTCCTCCACTCATTCATTTCATTACACTTAACAGAAGTAGAATATCTATTTTCATTAAGAAGAAGCAAAACAACAAACAGGCAAAACTTTACTGTCCCTGGAAGCACCTGGCTCCTAGAGAATTGAAAACCTAACAAACATTACCTGTTCCAAAGCCAATCCGAAGACCTCCCAAAAACTGGTTGGTTAATTTGTGATGGTCCCAGACAGTAAGCTCTACACAGGCTTCTGTCAGGTCTTCAGGCCTGAACCCATCATACACCATGGTGTGGTTGAAGACAGGATTGGTGGTTTTCCCTACAGCTCTTGTTTTCTGGCGACTTTTCCTACTTGTATCTGGAAGGATGATACTACAAAAGGAATCGTATTGTAAAAGCATTTTAATAAGATGGTGAATATTTACGCTTTCAGTGTACTGCAACACAGCTACTGAAGATTGGCAGAAGGAAATGGAAGAAAAAAAGAGTGTAGAGAGAGGCAGCAGTGGTGGTGGTGATGGTGATCATGGTGGCAGTGATGATGGTTGTGATAGTGGTGGTGGTGGTAACCATGATGGTGGTAGTGGTGGTGATGGAGGCAGTGATGATGGCAGTAGTGGTGGCAGCCATGATGGTGGTGGCACCTACGATGGGGGTAGTGATAGTAGGGGTGCTGGCGGTGATGATGGTAGTGGTGGTGGTAGTGGCAGTGGTGATAGTGGTGGTGGCAGTGGCAGCGGTGGTGATAGCAGGGATGGTGGTGATAATGGCAGTGATGGTGGAGGTAAAGATGGTGGCAGTGGTGGTGATGATGGTGGTAGTGGCAGCATTCTGCTGGAGAGACTGTGCATTATAGTGGACCAGACTTGCTTTAAATCCTGACTCTGCCACTTATTGGCTGTGTATTGTAGGGAAAGTCTCGTAATATCTCATACACTTGCTTCTTCATCTTAAAAATGAGAATGTGATGCCTATTTCATGAGGTTAATATCAGAATTACATATGAAGCAAACAACTTGGGATAGTGCTTTCTTTTAGTAAGTGCTTAATATGGTAGTAATTGGCTGGGGATTCCTTTAAAATTTGTAAGCATTCATGATCATCTGTTTTCTGTTTTTAACCTACCATCTCTTATAAATACAAAGCCTGAGAGTTGTCTCAGAATGACACACTGACCTGAGCTGAAAAATCTTACCAACCAACATCTATAAATACTACGTATAGTGAAAATCACAAATAATGTCAACAAACTTAAACTGCTATAACTGATCTTCTGGAAGAATCTATATAGATGAAATTAGTTAGGGGGAACTGAGAGTGCTTACTAACATCTGCTTAGTTACTACTGACTAGATGCCAGAGAAAAAAGTCTGCCACTTAAAGACTCTAATTGGGGATCCCTGGGTGGCGCAGCGGTTTGGCGCCTGCCTTTGGCCCAGGGCGCGATCCTGGAGACCCGGGATCGAATCCCACGTTGGGCTCCCGGTGCATGGAGCCTGCTTCTCCCTCTGCCTGTGTCTCTGCCTCTCTCTCTCTGTGACTATCATAAACAAATAAAAATTAAAAAAAAAATAAAGACTCTAATTGTCTTACACTCCTAGGACATAACTATTAGTAGGGGTCTTTTTTTTTTAAGATTTTATTTATTTATTCATGAGAGACAGAGAGAGACAGAGAGAGAGAGAGAGGCAGAGACACAGGCAGAGGGAGAAGCAGGCTCCATGCAGGGAGCCCGACGTGGGACTTGATCCTGGGTCTCCAGGATCAGGCAGTAGGGGTCTATTTAGCAAGTCATTTTCCACATATTTGCAGGCTGAGGCAAAAGATCTTTTGCAGATAAGCCACAAAGGTGGGACAAGGGATAGGAGGAAAAATTCTCCTTGCTCCACAAAGGAACCAAGGAGCATGGAATCCCAACATTAGAAATCTGATGAACTCTTTTATACTGAATATTAACCTCGCCAGCGGATATATCTCCCAGAAGACATCCCATACCTGAGTACATGGTCCCTGGTTTCATTTGTATGTATGTTGCCTTCATGGTTTTAAAACTAAATGGACCCTTAGGGGTTCGTGTCACAGATCCCTCTAGTTCACATTGCCATTGTCCCAAGTTATCTCACTTAAACCACGGAGGATGAGTTTCAGCATCACAGATATTGAGACCCCAAAACAACCACCAAAGGCCAGGCTATGATAGAACTGAGAGAAGCAGAGTTATCAGTGTGGTTACCATTTAACAAAAGAATTTAGATGGCTGCCCCTTAGCTGTGGTAGATCAAGACATTCCTTTACCCAGATGTGCACTTCTCCCGTTGTAGGAAGCTTTTTACCTGGAATTGGAAAAGGACAGAAAATAAAACTTCACTGCCTTTCCTCTTGTGCCAATACTATATCCAAAGATGCCAACCTAAAAATGGTCTGGCACAGTGATACTAGCTAGAGCTTGAGGATATGGTCATAATTGGTTAAATGTATACATTCTTAACCAAATCTTCCTTACTCTGGCTGCACTAAGCTCAGACAGTTCTATAAAAATAATTCATATTGATTCCAAGTACAGAGTACTGTATCATCTTTCTGGGTTTGGCTTGTTTCAAGACAAGTTATAGAAATCAGGTATGTAATCATACATTTATAGTTATATTCAAAACATCTCAATGAAATGCACATTCCTTTCAAATATTAATACTGATATTAATTGCTGTTAGTGGGAGGCATCTGAAACCATACTGAGTATAAAGTAATCAAAATAGGTACTGGTTAAGGTATAGCTACTCTTCTTTTTAAATGTGGTGACATACTTTATGTAGATACACACATAATAACTAATCTTATGGACAGGGAATTACTGAGAAGTTGGCTTAGTCTTTAGTTGTTGGCTAAACTGGGTACACATGGACAGAGGGCCATTACCATATTTTTCTGAATAGGTTAACTCAGTCAACCAACCTGAATTTAATGAGCATCTATGATATGCTCAGCCCTATGCTAGTAATGTCATCAGATATACAAGGAATATATAAAAAAAAAATCTATCTCTTTGGAAAATGTTTACACTTAAGCTAAAAAGATTAACTCAAATAAAAACTATAAAAATGGCATATAGAATGAAATGCCAAGTTATTACTATAATGTTCTAGATGATGATGTGAACAGTGAGGGGGAAAGAATATAGCCAGAAAAGATGGGGCTTCATCTAAGACTTGGATAGGTTGAGAAGAGGAAGCCATTTCAGGGAAGAGAAACTACATGAGCAAAAACTCAGACAAGATGGAGCTCATCAAAACACATGATCTCCTTTGCCCCCTCACCAAGAAATGATAGTGGAGGAAAAGATATTGGCAGAATTTCTATGCATGTGGACCATAAATGATAGGATACAAATTATATATAGTAAGAAAATCTGCCTTTTAGGAAGATCCAGAAGTAACAACAAGGTGGTTTGGCAGCTATATGGGCCTAAAGATAGGTTTTGCTTGCCCTCCAATTCCTTTTTTTTTTTTTTTAACTGAATTAGAATGTCTTTCTCCAGTTCAATCACTGCCCTTACCACCCATTATTTCTTTCGTCCCACTAGTTTTACTACCCGGTTACTGCAAACATTTGAGTTGCAACCTCTGATTTCAGTCATAACATTTACACTGCTTCTTACAGAGAAAAACTTGGGGAACTTCTTGGGAAATGAGAGTAGGCTGGCATTCATTTCTTTCTAGTTTCTTGCTCCTTAACTGGGCTGTAGGCTTGAGGCCCTAACATCAAGGATGCAATTAGTAACTTGGAGGAAAAAACTTTCTGTACTGCTGAGGCCTTGAGAATGCAGAAACAATGAACTCTAATTTCCTAAGAGCTTCATTAGATACTAATTCTTCTAATTCTCACCTCTGAAGAACACTCAGGTTCCATTCTTACCCTAATACAACCAATAGTTCCAAATTCTGAATATGGAAAGGCTATTCACATTGTGTAGATACCAACTTTTTAGAGAGTGAGGTGAAAGTTAAGACGGCTGAAAATGAGGATTTTTTTTTTTCATAGAAACAAGGTACAATGGTAGTTACCAAGGGCTGGGAGAAGGACAAGGCAAGGGTATAGTTTAATGGGTATAGAGTTTCAGATATGGAAGATGAAAAAGTTCTAGAGCTCTACTTCATAACAATGTGAATATACTTAACACTACAAATGGAATTTAAAAAGTGGCTAAGATGGTAAATTTTATGTTATATGTTTTTACCATAAAGAGAAAGAGAGAGAGAGAGAGAGAGAGAACGAACTATCAATTGTAAATTGACTCATTTGGTCCATACAATTATTAAGTTAATATATTTGCTTAGGGTTTCACCTTTGAAAGTAACACAGTGTCCAAAGAAATCCTTGGAGAGAGAGATATTAGGAAAGGGCATAAATCTAGATGGAAAATCATTACATACCAGGAGTTGGCTCTGGGACGTACTGGAGAGCTAACTTCATTTCACCTCTGTTTTCTGCTTCAAGGGGAACCGGTGCAGTCTAGGAAATGAAGCACTGCCAGTCAGTAAGTGTAAGACACAAATGATTTTACTCTGTTGGTACTCTGTTATAGGACCATAACAGCCCCATTTCTGCAATTCTGTATCACCCACGAGTGCCCCGGATTAAAAGTTCCTTCCCCATTAGAGCTAAACTCTTGCGTTTTTACCTGGGAAGGCTCTATTATGTATCTTGGAAAAATGTGCTTGGTCCCCAGAAAACATCTCAAGGCCTTTCATCCCAGAGATAGGAGAGAAATCAGTTTGGCTGTCTGGCTGGTTGGCTTGCTTGCTTGCTTTTTTCCTTCTCTCTCTCTCCTTCTCTCTTTCTTTCAAAATTTTATTTATTTATTCATGAGAGACAGAGAGAGAAAGGCAGAGACATAGGCAGAGGGAGAAGCAGGCTCCCTGCAGGGAGGCTGATGCAGCCAGCCTGAATTCTAGAGACAAAGAAAGAATAGAAAATACAGAAGAAAGAATAAACATATGGGACAGGGTCATGAGACTGAGCTCTGTGTAGGGTTCTGCACTGAGCATGGAACCTGTTTAAGATTCTCTCTCTCCCTCCTCTTGCCCACTTGCACAGGTGCTCTCTCTCTTAAAAACAAGAAAGAGAGCAAGAGAAACATATATAATGATCCCAAACTATGGATAACCATTATGAATTAAAATGCCATTATAATAGCTTTCTCCTATACAGGACCCTGGGATCATGACCTGAACCAAAGTCAGATGCTCAACCACTGAGCCACCCAGGTGCCCCCAGAATGGCTTTCTTGGAGATAGAAGAAATGTTCTGGGATGCTTTGGTTTTTATAAAAACACACATATTTTTGTTAGTCACTCAGCCAGCACATAAAACTATTTATTTGTATTATTCTCTTTGAGTAAGAATGTGGGAAAGGAGGGGAAAGAAAACCCAAACATTACATTTTCAAAGGTACGTTAGTCTAATTACTTCAGATCACTTGGTATGAGGTCTGTAAGAATAACAAAGACTGGACAATAACTTAAGAGTGTAGCTCTATTATTTTGAGTATAAGAGAGATGGCTTTACTTTCAAATTCTGGTCCTCTAGAGCCTTATTGCTGAAGCATGGCTATGCTTCAGAAATGTAAGGAAAGTTAGTTTAAAATGAAAAGCTCTTGTCATCTTCTGAAGAATTCATGCCCAGTAAGTCTTTGGTAAGGCTAGAAGCAAGGGCTTCTGGTGATTTTGATGCAATATTTTAGAATCATTTCTTTAGTATCTACATAATACACCACTTTCACTTAACAAAGATTTGTATTATTGCTATTTATAACTTCCAGCTGGGATCATACCAACCCTCACACTGAGGACAATTAAAAAAAAAACGAGATTAAACAAATTTATTTGAAGGAGCTAAAGAATTATTAATATAGACAGGACTCAAATGGACAAGATCTTTTAGCCTGACAGTCATTGCTTTTCACATTGAGGCATCAGCTAATTTTTAAGTAGTGACAAATTAGAACATAAGAAGCCTAAATGAAAAAGACTAAGACGACTGAGCAGGAGGATGCCTAGGTGGCTCAGTGGTTGAATGTCTGCCTTTGGCTCAGGTCATGATCCTGGGGTCCTGGGATTGAGTCCTGCATCAGGTTCCCCACAGGGAGTCTGCTTCTCCCTCTGCCTCTGTCTGTGTGTCTCTAATGAACAAATAAATAAAATCTTAAAAAAAAAAAAAAAAAAGCCTGAACAGAGTTTTTTCCAGTCTCATGGGGCTGGAGAGACCAAAATTGGAGTCCACAACCAGCTAGGAAGGAATAGCCTTAGAAAGTATCCTAAATCAGTGGTTCTCAAAATACGGTTCCCAGGCCATACTCTGCATCAGCAATTAATCAGCAATGCCTAGGAACTTACTGGAAATGCATATTCTTGGGCTGAGATCTTACTGAATCAGAAACCTTGGGAATATGGCCCAGAAATCTGTATTTTAATGAGTCCTTCAAGTGAACTGGATTCATGCTAAAATTTGAGAACTACTTCCCTAGGTTTTCACTTGGAACCTCTGAAGGGTCATAGCCTAGGAACACGGTCAAGCAAAAACTACATGAGACCCCATGAAAACTGAACCCCAGCTTCTCGTTGGTTCATTCTCAGGTTAAAGTGGTCTGTCCCTACTCTATGTGTCAGAAACAAAAGTAAATCCTCTCAAAGTATCCCTAAAGGTTTTCATGTAAAATGTATAGCATGCAATAAAAAATAAACAGGCATATTAGGACAAAGGACCAAATGACCAAAGATAAAGAATTAGATAAAAGAGACTTACAAATGCTTAAGATATTGTGTTTTCAGATATATACCTTAAATAACATTGATAAATATGTTCATAAAGACAATATTAAGAAAAGAGAATATTTTTTTATTTATTTATTTATTTATTTATGATAGTCACACAGGGAGAGAGAGAGAGAGGCAGAGACACAGGCAGAGGGAGAAGCAGGCTCCATGCATCGGGAACCTGACGTGGGATTTGATCCCAGGTCTCCAGGATCGCGCCCTGGGCCAAAGGCAGGCGCCAAACCACTGCGCCACCCAGGGATCCCAGAAAAGAGAATTTTTGCAGTAAAGTGGTCTATAAAAAAATCAAATGAGAATATAAATCTGAAAAATATAATGTTGAGAACTTGTAAGAGTGTTCTAGACACAGCAGATAAGAAAATTATTAAATTGGGGGATCCCTGGGTGGCGCAGCGGTTTGGCGCCTGCCTTTGGCCCAGGGCACGATCCTGGAGACCGGGGATCGAATCCCATGTCGGGCTCCCTGCATGGAGCCTGCTTCTCCCTCTGCCTGTGTCTCTGCCTCTCTCTTTCTCTCTCTCTCTGTGACTATCATAAATAAATAAAAATTTTAAAAAAATTATTAAATTGAAATATAGGTTCACAAAAACTAGCCAGCCTGAATTCTAGAGAGGAAGAAAGAATTGAAAATACAGAAGAAAGAATAAACATATGGGACACGGTCATGAAATTGAGCTCTGTGTAGGGCTCTGCACTGAGCATGGAACCTGTTTAAGATTCTCTCTCTCCCTCCTCTTGCCCACTTGCACAGGTGCTCTCTCTTTTAAAAACAAGAAAGAGAGCAAGAGAAACATATATAATGATCCCAAACTATGGATAACCATTATGAATTAAAATGCAATTATAATAGCTTTCTCCTATACACCAGGTCTCAAACCATCCAACCAACCAATCAACCAACCAACAAGTCTGAACTTACCTTTCGCTTCAGAGGGTACCACTTCAATTGTTTGTTCTGTTTGTTGTCCCAGTCCCAAGTTTCCAAGTCCAGTTCCACTTCCCCTAGAAAACTATTACGCTTAAATGTATCCCGATGCCAAACGGAGACGTTCAGTTTTTGTGTTTTTAAGATTTGCTTTTCGATTTTATACTGTAGATCAAAGAAGGAAATTAAAGTGGTGAATAATATTATTTTATACCAAAGTTATAACATAGAGAGAGGAGGAGAAAAGTCATCTGTGCAGATCAGGTTTTCTCATCTGCTAGGTTTCAAGTCTCTAAAATATTGCAAAGTCATCTTATTCTAAGTGTCTTGTTTCAAAGAGCTATATCCATCTTTCACAAAAGCTGATTTTTTTTTCTGCTTCTGGAAAAGCAAACCACGGCTCAAATTATCAGAGGCAGTAATGGCTCTCTAAAAACAAAAGCCAATTATTCATTTTTTATTGGATGTTTTAGTTCAAACTAGATATAACATAAATCCAATTCAGTGTAAAAATACTAATAAAGTTTAATCCTGTGGTCTGTTTTCTACTTAAGGACAAGGTATTTTTTTCTAATAGACTATTTTTTTAGAGAAGTTTCAGATTTACAGCAAAATTGAGTAGAAAGTACAGACAATTCCCATATACCACTCGCCCCCATTTACACATAATGTCTCCCACTATGGATATCCTGCAATGACAAGGTATTTTTCAAGGAAAGATATTTTTGTTTTTTTCCTGCTTCATATGGTTAAGTGGAAAATATCTGGCATCCTAGCAGTTTTTCATCTAGGATGTAGTCAATCCTAGATTATATATAATCATGGAAGGGATAATAGTAGTTCTAATCTAAAAATAATCTCTATTTGGCTTTATGATGTACTACTTGAAAGTCCATTTTGGTTGTAGCAGGCTTGCCTTTCTCTAAGTTTACCATTTAAATTAGCTGGCTTTTCCTGAGTATAGGGTTGAAGCAGCTGACCCAGAAATAGCAAGGGTACTGAGGTATATCATAGTCAAACTGTAATTAAAAAGTGGCTACAGGGATCCCTGGGTGGCGCAGCAGTTTGGCGCCTGCCTTTGGCCCGAGGCGCGATCCTGGAGACCCGGGATCGAGTCCCGCGTCGGGCTCTCTGCATGGGGCCTGCTTCTCCCTCTGTCTGTGTCTCTGCCTCTCTGTCTCTCTCTCTGTGACTGTCATGAATAAATTAAAAAAAAAATCTAAAAAAAAAAAGTGGCTACAGAAAATCCATAAAAAACTGACCCATGGAAGACTGAAAATTAATTTAACTCTGCTTCTTTCCTTGGAGGATAATCAAACAGTAGGACAGGTTTTTCAGAAAGGGGGAATGAAGAGCACTTCTTATATTTTGTTTTACATTATCATGACTAAGGCAGCATTATGCAACCTGGGGGGAAAAGGAATACGGCCAATTGAGCCAGGTATACTTTCTATTCATCTGTTCTGCCATCTCTCCTTCCAATAAACATTTTTTTAACACCTATCACGACCCTGTACTAAGAGTCAACATTTACGTGTTTAATGTATACTAATCACTTTGCACATATTAACTCTTTTAATGTTCACAAGTACTGAAGTAGATAGGCAGGTACTATTATTGCCTTTTGGAGACCTCAAGTATGGACAGGTTTAAGTCTTTTGCCCAAAGGCACACTGTTGATAAAGTACATGGAGCTGGTCCCTGACCTCCTGGAACTTAGAATTTAATGGGAAAGCAGACAATGGAGGCAGTAGTTAAAGTGCTGAGAGTTAACAAAGTCTATATGAAACAAGGTGCCTGAGGTAGCAGACCCAGGCAGGACAGAAAGGTTAGGGACAAGCTCTCACAAGAAGAGGCATTTAAAACTGTAGGAGGTAGTTACGGATAGAATGTGGGAAAAAGTACTCCAGCCTGATGGAACATGAAATCCAGCACTGTGAGAAAATGTGGCTAGTTCCTCCAAACAACAGAAAGGAATCAGGGTGACCTAAACAAAGACTCTGAAAGTAGAAGTGCAAAGGGACTGGTGCATGGTAAGGATGGACTTGCCTCTAAGGGTAATGGGAATCCTACAACATTTTAAGCAGAGAAATAACATGATCAGGATTATGCTTCTGGGATACTTTGGTCACAATGCTCCATGTTTTCAGCTGTGTGTCTTTGAGCAAACTCCTTTGTTTCTCTAAGCCTCATCTGTGAGGGGCAGGTGATACCCTCCTGGTGGGGTATGTCCAGAATGAGTGAGAGAATGCATACAATGTTCATGGTGCATGATCTCACACAAAGCAGTTTCTCAGAACATGTTTATCCCTTTCCTTCTCCACTCTCTATGACTGACTGTATCTGTAGAGATAGTACCCCAGAAGATATGGCTATTCACACACAATCACAGTGACACATCATCATTTAGGATATTCCTAGACAGACAGTTCTTAGATACCCGCAATATCTCATTATACACAGGATTCAAAGTCTTCTTCACTACAAGTGTTTTCTTCTTGCCCATTTTGCCCTTGTCTGGTAACAAATAGGTCTTTACATATCTAAAAAGAGAAGTGGACAGACAAGAAGGTCAGAGAAAATAAAAGTGCTATTTCCAGCTCTACTTTGAAAAATGCATTGATAATTGACAGAAAAAAATATTTCATGACACCAAGAAAAGCATTAAGTAAAGGATGTTCTCACCAACACCTTTTATACTTAAACTTTTAAATATAGTGCAACAGAATTGGTCATTTTATAATGTTTTGAAAATTTTTCAAGGATATTTCCTGAATTCCCTTTTCCCTTTGACCTTATCTGAAGTGGAGGAGGGAGGAAAAGATCTCTAATGTCCTTAATTTTACTGGTTTGTTTTCTATTGAGAAAAGGCTTTGGTGCTTGCAGAACTTAAAAGGTTTTATTACTGCCTTTTGAAAACAAAAATTAATCTTAGCTCACACCTAAGTAAGCCATATTCAATGAGGGGAAAAAAAGGATACTGACTCCAGCTGTTTTTACAATAAAAGCATAGAAGGATTGGCCTTATGCTAGCAAAATGGTTAAGAATCTGACTTTTGCATTGGTCTAAGCGAGGAATACCATTCAAATTCTGCAAATAAACTGAAATTCAATTAACCCTGTGATTTAAAAGATGAGCTGGAAAAAAAATAAAAATAATAAAAGATGAGCTGGTAATTTCCCCTGAAGTTCTTCTGTAAAATAGAATTTAAATTTAGAAACTACCTCATTCTAGAATCTTAACTGTTTCTGCACCACTGAGCATTCTGAAATATGGCCTGACATGTCCCTAATTTTAGAGAAGTTTGAGAGAGTCATGGGGGGAGATTGGGGTTCAAGCCCTCATGCCCCGTTTTGCTGCTGACTCTGAATTTATGTAAAAAGGTCACTTATCTTCTCTGGCCCTGGTTTCCTTATCTGTTAAAAGAATGAATGGGACACGATGGCCTTCAAGGTCCTTTCCAACTTGAAATATATTATGCTTCTCTGACATTTTTATAGTTTAATAAGTTTGGTATATGAATTCATGGAGTAAATAAAACAGCATTTTCCCCCAATTTTTCTTCTCAGACATTTCTTTTTGACACAGTCACACACATATCTTCCCTTCATTTTTTTTTCTTTCTTTCCCAATTACAACAAGATTACAAATTACTCAGAGAAAACAGTAACTCCAAATTGTACTTACGGATCTGAGCGTTGTTTTTTAATATCCGCTGCTGCTAGGTCTTTACACTGGGCCACAAAGACATGTAACTCCTTCAGTGAGTCCACATAGTCGATGGCAAACTGAATATTTCCTTTTACTTCCAGATTGCCAAAGTCTCCACTGTATACGCTCATCACACTGCCGCTCACCTGAAAGCATCGGAAATATGCAGTGTTTGTTTCTATCTCTTTTGTGAATCCATCACAAGGATCACAGATATCATCTTTGCTTGCCATTATTTCTCTAGTTTGCATTTAAAACAGTTACCATAATATGGCATAAAGACAGACCAACACAGGCAAGCTGACATGCTATATGACACAACTAGTATTTAAAAAAAAATGCCTCTAAAAGATACAGATGAAAAATGCAAAATTATTTAGATGCTGGCTCATTTCAAAGCAGGGGGATTTTATGGTGAGATTGTTCAGAGTCCCATTTTTAAGCATGCTTCGTTATTTAAGATGTTAAAGAAAGAGGATGTGAGAAACCCCAGGCACACAATTCACGGTGACACATTGCTCTATCAAATTTCCAAGGCACTAAAAAGGAATTTTACTATGTTATCCATCCACTGAATCTAGAAAATGCTTAGTGGGCCACACGCCTTTAGAGGTCAGGAAGGGTAGAGAATGGATGATTGATGAAGGCAGTTGAAAGCCTTCCCCAGGCCATACATTGGAGTATCATCAGCAGAAATTCTATTTAAACAGATTTTTTAAAAGTTGGAGAAATGAGAGGCTAGTAAGAATTTAAATATAGCTTTAACATTTAGTTAGCATACCTGGTGAGGCATGTGCATCTGTATGTATATCAGAGAACTATCTGGGTAAATGTATGTGAATATATTTCCATATATGTATTTCTACACACAGACTACATGTACACACAATGACCTCACTTTATGAAAGAAGTTCTAGGTAGAGTCCAATTTTCTACATCAAACCTGAACAACTACACTTAAGGAGATTTCCTTTTAAAATCCTGTTCTGAATCCTTATGTAAAGCAAAGAATCACTTTTCCTACTCTTTTATCTGTATCAGTACTTTTATTCATCAGGTTTGCTAAAAGAGAGGTACAATTCTAAATGTTGCAATCAGAAATATAAAACAGGGATCCCTGGGTGGCACAGCGGTTTAGCGCCTGCCTTTGGCCCAGGGCGCGATCCTGGAGACCCAGGATCGAATCCCACGTCGGGCTCCTGGTGCATGGAGCCTGCTTCTCCCTCTGCCTATGTCTCTGCCTCTCTCTCTCTCTGTCACTGTGTGACTATCATAAATAAATAAATAAATAAAAATTAAAAAAAAAAAGAAATATAAAACAGATCTAAGCAGACTTTACAAAAGTTACCTCATTTGTTGCACAGAAAAATGTGGTAGTTCACCTTGTTAGTAATTCAGGTATATTTTTGAAATCCTTACATTAAAAAAAAAATTCATCTACAATGGGTATGCACTCTTTTTATGCTTATAAAAAGAAAAACAAAGATTTAGCTAGCCAGGAGCTACTGAGGGTTAGAGAAAAAGCTTGTGTCCTTGGAAATACAACAGGAGGCCATGTTATAGTAAGCAGGAGAATGGCAGAGTGAGGTTCACAGAAGCAGAGAGATATTAACACAGAGCCTTTGTTTACATACAGAAGAGAGGGACGTCATGCCAGAGGAGCTGCTAAGATTGGTTAAAGAGCTTGGGCTCTTCTTGTGTCTGCTGAGCTGGTAACTGCTTTCTGATGCTGTATCTGTTTCTCTGTCATCACTCTACAAAACATCATATAATATACACAAAATTTAAATTCAGAATGAGTGAAGATCAGCATCTCTATTTAGAAAAATGTGATACCTTGGTATGACATTTCCGAAGGTCAAAGCACACTAGTGCTAATCACCAGGGAATGGGAATCAGGCTCAAGTGAGTGGTCTACCTTGGACCTCACTTAGAGAGGACAGCAGTGCTTAGCTACCAAAATAACAAAGTGATTTGTTTTTTTTACCTACAAGGTGGGTTCCAGGTGCTACGGTAGGCAATACTACTGTCACTCTCTTAATACTATATATTTATGTTTGTGGAGAACTTTATTGACATATATGAGAAATTAACTTTACCCAGATAACAAAAGATCTGATTTACTCTCAAAACATCAAATGCCATGCTTAATTCCTTTCATTAGTAACAGAGCTTTAACTTCCCTAAAAATAAAATCTTTTACTTGAGACACTATTAAACTCGAAAAGATAAATGCTAGTTTGATCTGTTTAAACTAAAAGTTATATATACATACATATTTAAAAATTTTTAAAGTACCTCTTATGTATTTCCATAGTGCTATTATGTTTATCTTTTTATTGCTATAGGGAAGTATATATTAAATTATATTTATTAAAGTATATTAAATTCTACCTGCATTAGATTTTAAAACATTTTTTTTTAAAAGTAACAAAGACAATTATTTTAAATCTGTCCCAGGAAATATTTACCTTGGTAAAGAAAAAAAGGTGGCAATAATAAACTTTATTATTTTTAGAGCTAAAATTTATTAGATGGTAGCTTTAAAAATTCCTGATTAAGAATGAGCTCTTTTGGGGGTTAGAGAGTTTATGGAGCAGTTCAGGGGAGTTAGGGAAACACCTTCATAGAGTAGTTAGTTCATGCCAACATATTCCAAGGCCATGCAATTATGTATCATATAACAGATGCCAATTCAAATGCAGATTAAGGAAGGAGTTAAAGAAAAACAAAATTTATGACTTATATGGATAAGGAAACAAATCCTCCCTTGAGGATTAAAAAACCCTCCACACCCTAGTGTGTCTGCTGTCATGCCCCTCACGCCCTTATAGTCCATTTCCCTCTATTACAGCATGTACTATGCTCTACCTAGTATATCAGGTCACTAGTGAATTACTCAAGGATGGGGTCCTGTCTTGTTAACCTGGAATACTGATTTTCATGCAGCAGGTACTCAATGAATGTGACTAATGCTAAGCCTCAAAGGTAGAGTGGATGGAGGAGCAAGCCTGGTTTCATCTCCACTTCCTTTAACATTTGGTCTGACCCATGTGCTTTGAAAGGTAAAATTCTACAGCTTCTTTTGGCATCTCTGATACACAAACTCAAATGATTTGGACTCTCATTGGTGCGGAGCTATGATGGAGGAGAAAATTAAACCAGGAACTGGTATCACTTGCCTCTTAAATTATTAAATGCTTATTCATATGACCAACCAAGACCAAAGCCTATTTACAAAGGTATAAAACCACAGGAACTCCATGAGTGGCCTACTGTTGGTTTCCAACTTAGGATTTAGTTTCAAAGAATGAGTGATTCTTTTCAAAGGAACTGTAATGTGGACTATTAAACATATGCAAGGGTGAATATTTACAGATAGAGTTAATCTAAGGCCTGAAAATAGACAGAGGGGTTCCTGGGAAGTCAGGGAGGAGGTATGTAATTTATATGCTGTCTAGAATGTTCCTCACATTTCATCTAAGAGAATGCTTGAAGATAACGCTTTTTATTTCACCATCAAAAATCGGACCCAAACTGCAAAGAGTTAACAGCTAGCTACCATTTACTGGGTATTCACTACATGTCAGGCACTGTGCCATATGTTTCCCACGCATTATCTCATTGACTCCTTACAACCTAATGAGGTAGGACTAGGAAACCTGTCTCAGGGAACTTGCCTGTAGTCACATACCAAATTAGTAGCACAGCCAGGACTCCAAATTCCTAACTACCTGGCTATAAGATGAAATCTTTTTTTTCACTTTTTAAGTTTTTATTTTAATTCCAGTATAGTTAACATACAGTGTCAGGTATACAATAAAGTGTTTCAATAATTCTATACATTACTCAGTGCTCACCACAAGTGCAATCCTTAATCCCCATCACCTACTTAACCCATCCCTCCACTGAGAACATGGAATCTTAATTAAGTCAAAAGGCCTGAGTTAAAGTCCTACATCTACTTTTTAGAAGCTGTTGGATTTGGGGGAAGTTATTTAACCTCTCTGAAGCACTTTCCTCTTTTATAAAATGGAGAACATAGTACCTATCACATTTTGTTAGTGAGAGTTAGAAATCAGAATGACTATTAGGTGCCTAGTATTTACAAAGTACTGAGTAAATAGCAGGTAAGAGTCCTGTTCTGACCTGAGACAGTAGGTATAATGGCTAACCACAATAATCAGATCTGGGCTCCAGTCCTGGTTGGATCCCTTTCTACTGAGTGAGGTTACTCACCTCTCCCGATGTTTCCTTATCTGTAATATCTGGTAATAATGATGGTGTCTGCCTTCTGGCATGTTGGATGATTAAATGAGATAATGTATGTAAACTGCATATACCCGGTAGCTATCCTTAAGGTCCGCTGTCATTGTCACTTTACTACTTTAACAAATGCTTTCAAGCTACTCATGCTACCTAGACTAAGCTTTCACAAATCAACTCTACTGTAAACTACAGAGTGGTTAGGTCACACCAACATATTTCTGCCTGGATTTCTTATTTTGTACCTACTTTGAAACATAAGTCACATTCCAAAATCAATGCAGTTTGACTTCATCACCAAAATGAGTTATTGTTTGAGTCAAATGAGAGGTGCCTTGCTTGTTCCAGGATTAACAACACTACCTCTATTGATAGGAAAGGCAGGGGTCATTCCTGCTGACCTCCTTGGTCTCTGCCACCACTGAATACAAACACACCAACCTTGGCATAGCAAATCCACCTATTTGGTTCCAATTCTTCTGAAGTTACAAAAGACAAACTTGCCTCATCTTGGAGAAATGCTGGAACAGACTTGCTCATCCTTTTGAGTTTGTCAGGGTGGGAAAATGGATTATCAGGTTGTGAAGGCACTGTGGAAACTAAACAGCAGCATTTCCATTCAAAATTATCCTCACATTATCAGACAAACATAAAGGCATAAGTTGAAAACACACTTTTATCTATGAACAAGATATTTTTGTAAAAAGGTTAAAGGCACAGTAGTTTACATGCATAGGATCATAAGATAAGCAACATGCAGTATTCATGAATTAAACAGAGAGAACTAGCAAGGAGTTGAACCAATTGAAAATAAAACTTAATTTAACAACTGTTAGTTTTTATTAATCTGGAGCTGGATTTGAATTATATTAAAACTTACTGCCATTGTGAATTGGTTTTCACTTATTTTTCACATCAGAGATTTGAACCACAAGATGTGTGATTTATTGGTTCATCTCCTTGCAATGTATTTTTAAAACATGCTGCAGGCTGAAAAACTATTTCATCGGACAGCAAGGATCTTCATACACAACTCAATCATGACAGTGTCCTGGCTATGGAGTGTCTAAAGGAAGACTTGTTTGTTCAGTGACAGTGTTTCTCACTTAGAATTATGAAAGACTATGATTTCAAACTAAATATTTTTTGAAAACAAATTAGATACTTTTCTGATCGCAAGGTATCAGACACCTTAATTATTTAGACACAGTAAGGATGTGTGTGGAAGTCACAATGAGATGATGAATTCTATTCCTCATTTGTGTGACCCTAGTTAGAAATCTATTTCCTTCTTTATCTAAGAGTTAGTGTCTAAGATTTTCTTACAGTGAATCAAAGCTTATGTATGAACGAGTTAGTATGTTTCAAGGCCCTTAGAACAGTGCCTGGAACATAGTATGCTCTATATAAGTATTTGCTAAAAAATAAATATTCTCTGATAATCTTTAAATTACCTTTTCAACGTGATACAAATATACTGCCTTGTTTTTTTAATTTTTAAATTTAATTAATTAATTTTCTTACTGTCTTGGTTTTTATCAGTGAAAGAGATACTAGGAAAACAGATAAAAATCAAATTATATTTCTATATATAGCTTAAGAGGCTCAGATTCAGTCCTAAACATTAGCTAAATTCATCTTTAGTTAAAAGAAATCTAATGAAGGAAAACTGAAAACTTAACTATACATATTAAATATTTGCTTATTCACATAGTAGTTCTCATCTAGCCTTTGGCTCACAAATGTATCAAAATACATTTACAATGAATGACTCACGAGATATCTGCTTTAATAGTTTCCCATTAAACAATAATGTGTATGTGTGTATATTCAGGTGACTTACACTGAAGTAGTGTAAGATTAGGCCCCATGAGAGCACAGTACAGCCCAATGAGTATACAAAACCTTTTTTATCATAATACTGCTCCCTATTATTTTCAAAATTTATATCCACTACTCAAATGTAGTCAGTTTTATATTTATGAGGCTTTAGTTTTTTATGTTTCAATCAGGTATTTCAGTTTTGTTTGGTGGTAAGAATACACTCTTCACTAGAGAAAAATAATCTCAGCCTAATCATGAAGAGTCATCTTGGAAAGTACCATAAGAGAGAGTGGAATTAATTCATCCAGAATTCAGCACGTGATTAGCCAATTTGGCTTGACCTCACTTTCTAGGTCATGAACAAAGACAGATACATTACCATATATGTCTAGGTCTATGTTTTGTTTTCACTCTTCAGGCTAAATGTTGAACAAAACATAGCAAGATAAAACAAGATGACCACACTGAAGTATCAACCAGTGCAAAAGCAACTGGAGAAACCTCTTTACCCAATACTCCTGAGGGACAGAAGTCTTGGTACCTCTGTAGCCACTGGACAGAGGACGTGCACCAGGGGTTGAAACCTGGATTATTTTTTTGCCTAGGTACTTAAGAATTTGTCAGGTCCTGTGCCAAACTTCAGCACCTTTCTCTCTGGCAGGAGGACCTCATGAGCAAAGTTTTGGATTTCAGACTAGATGTCACTGCCTTCTAGCATCAGCACTTTGTTTCTCTACTGAACGACTCCTTCATTTAGCTGCTCTTCTCATTAAGACTTATTAGCACATCCAGACTGTTGGGAAACTGTTAAGAAGAATAAAGTGCGCTGCTGACAGCAGACATGTGTATCATTATCTCTATACCTCCAGCACCTAACATTATGCAACCAGCGAAACTGGGAAGCTGAGAAGACACACACACGTCTGTGTGCTTTGATAGGCCACACAAACACCTTTTTAATGTGCTATTTGTCCTGGAGACAGTAGTCCCAGGTAAGTACAGCAATCTTAAGACTGAACAGAAAAGAGTAAATAATCATTATCTTTGGTTGGTGGTGGATGGTAATTAGTGGATGGACATTGGGCACCACAAGTACACACTGATTTCTTAAGATTCAGACATTCACTTGCTTTATATTTTGAATAAATAACTGAGTCCAGTTTTGAACTTCAGAGCTTAAACCCTGGACATACTAAAATTTATTTCCAAAGGTAGATAGAGAGGCATATACAACTATACAGCATACCAACTGTAAAAATACAATTCTTTCTTAGGTCCAAATAAATTATAAATTGTTTCATGTCTACAGTTTTGTGTAAAGGTCACAAGAGATCCAATACTCAAGACCATACTGCAACATAAAGTGAAATGGTAATGCAAGGTGCCAACTTCATTTTAAGAAAAGACTCAAGGGCCAGAGAGACTTACAAAAGAATAATACACAGTAATAACATACATCTATATTTATATATAATACATATATATGCCTACATAAAAGTTTTTAAAATATGTAACTCTCCCACCAGAACCACAAATTAATCTTTCAATACTGGCAGCAGTAAATTGTTTTTAATAAAACCCTTATCAGAATGAAATAGTTTTGTAAGCTGCAAGAGTTTAGTACCAATAATAAATACTGCGTGATTAATAGTGTTAGTTATTTCAGTATATTTAACACCATGTAGAGTGGCAACATTTAGTCATTTGTGAGAAAGATCCTGCTACTCACTTCCTGGTATGCATTCATTTGTATCTGGTTCCTGATCTGCTTTTTGATCTACTCAGAAGAGCAACATTAAGAATAAATACGATTTTACAAGAAGGATTAAAGAGACATGAAGGTAAAGCTCACATGTCAGTGTCACAACGGAGACTGCAGAATACATCTGACACATTTTCAGCTTGCTTTTATCCATTCCCCAGAGTGACTCTTCATTAGCCACTTGAGGTTTCCTATTCAACTAAAAATCTAACATCTAGCATAGGAGATGTTTGGTGTGTTTCTTCTAAATGCACTGAGCCACACATAGCTTGGGAGGTGGAAGGAGCACTGCAGCAGGACTCATGAAACCGAGATTTAGTTCCCACCTCTCCCCACTGACCAACTAGCTACAGGATCTTAGACAAGTCACCTAATTTCTTTGAGCTTTTCTTATCTGTAAATGAAAATGGAAATCCCTGCCCCACCTACTTCCATGAAGTTGTTGCAAGCATAAAATGAGAAAGAACTAGGATATAAAAGTAGGGAATGACTGTTGAGGAGCTCTGATACTACATTTCATGGGGAAACGCTCAGTTAATATACATTTTCATTATTATAGTAAAGGCAATTTAAAAAACACAATTCCAGTGCAGAAATACAAATTACACATTTGCATAAATGCTGAACTATAAAAAAATCAGACTCATTTCCATCCATTCCATCAAGGCACTATTATCCTATATATTTTATAACTGAACCAAGTAATATTCAATCCATTGACAAACGTCAACATCTTTTGGCTCTGTAATATTCAAAACTGGTTAATTTTACTTCAGCCTATATTTAGCTATTTAAATGAGATGAGGCAGGACTCCGACTCTGGTTCTGGGACTCCTTCCTTTGAAGTTAAAGCTTTACCAGCTATGCCCAGAGAGATCCAAATGCTGAGATGTGAGATTCAAATACAGGAACAACTTAACCCAGGAACCCACCCGATGCTTCCTGCCCTCACAAGGAGTTCTGCAAGTCAGAGTAGCAAAAATCAGCTCATATCCATAGAAATACAATTTCCTATTTATAGAAACCCTTGCTTCCCAAGGGTCTCTGATGCGATCCTCACAATGGTATCACCAGCAGAAGTCTTGAGAATACAAACAGTTAGTATTAAATGCACTGAGTCATTTAACCGTTTTAAAACAACTTAGGCACCATTCATCACATGGTGGCAAATGACGTTCTTCTATTTAACCAACAGCTGCGTCTCAGTGACTGCCCAAACCACCCCACAACCTAATACACAGACAGACATGCAAATACATAAAGATATTTACCATCTTCAGCACTACGTACTAATTCTTCAGGCAGATTATCTACTTTTGCTTGATCTGTTCAGGAGAAATTAACAAACGGTTAACACGGCTGACCCTTGGCGAGAGAGAACAATGAGACTGTCCCTGGGAGCCCCCGGAGTTGGAAGCAATTAGTCAAGATGCAGTGAGGGGTGCAACCAAGATGTCTTCCCCAAAATACTTTCTCTTTAGATTAGCTACTTGAACCAGTGCCATAGCGGGAGCTCCCATTTCAGCCCCGATGCAGCTTACATCAGCACACTGCTGCACACGGACTCCCAAGGGTTAGAGGGTTAGCTAAGAGCAAGCAATCTGCCAGCAGCAGGAGAAAACACAGGGCGGCAACAGCCTCTCTATTCTTCTGGAAAGGGTAAGATGCTAGCCATGACTAACACCTTCTCAAACCCATGGTCATTAATAAATATTTCTGTGCATGCATCATCATTTGTGTATGCCTCTGGGAGCCTTGCTTGGGAAGTCAACTGAAGAGATGTAACTGGGGACCAGCTGCTAAGTGGAATCTTGGCAGGCTAGTGTGAGAGTGGGTATCGGTATTTGGAAGGGAGCGTGCAGGAATATCTGTCAGCTGATGGAGATTTTTTTTTTTTAACCCTGCACATTCCTGAGTACTTTAAAGCTGCACCATGGAAATAGCTCCACGCCTCACAGGCAAGAGGTTTGCCAAACTGGACAATTGTTGCTGAGTTTTTGGTTTTTTTTTTTTTTTCCTTTCCTCAGGATCCATCACCAACATCAGGAAGAACAATTAGGACGGTCCAACAAAGGACTGGACTCACTTTCTGTGGGAGCATTCAGGCGGATATGGCGGGGTTGGACACCTGTTGAGGAGGCTTTATTGAGAATTTCTGCACTGGGGAGGTGTTTAAAATGGGTGATCTTCAAGGTCACTTTCAACCCTAAGATTCCAAGATCTCTAGTAGGGGTAGAACTGCATTCTAATTTGGGAATTTTGCCCTCAGAGCCCTGAAAATCTCAGATTTTTAGGAATTATTTAATGGAATGGCTTTTCCCTTTCCCTTTTTAAATTCTGACTTTTTAGTCTCAATTGCAGATGCCTAAAGCATATTCTAAACATGATAATGTTCAACTTTCAAGCACATGAGTTTGGCAGCAGTTAACTTTCATTCAATAAAGTTTCTCATGACCCTCTTCACTCCCAGGGGTGTATGATAGCTTAAAAACAATTAAGAGCAAGCCTCCTAGAAGTCATGATTTCTAAGTCCACTTGTGTGGCTCATAAGTCTCTCGATATATTCTGCTTTATGTTAGTAGTCATGAGGTCTGTCACCATTTAAAGCAGTAGCTGGGGGGGAACAGTGTGCCTAAAGTGTTGTAGGCTAGGTAGTCTTTTGGACTTTTAGTTCCAGTATCCAAAAGAAATGTGTGAAAAGAAGGGATGAGAGAGAAAGGATAGTCCTTGAAGCTAGGGACCAACTCATCTCCATATCACAAAAAATTAATCAGACACCCAACACTGTCATATAGAACACAGTCACTTCATAAATGCTCCTGATAGTAGTCTGTTGATTTTGATTCATAGCTCTGTGGCATGACTCTAAACAAGTTGCTTTACCTCCCTGAGCTTCATTTTCCTCATCTGTAAAATGGGAATAACAATTATCTCTTACAGGGTTCCGTATGCCAGTTAGATGAAATCATGCATGTGAAATGCTTAGCCAAGTCTTGGCACATGGTGCTCAATAAATGTTAGCTATTCTTACTAGAGTTGCTAGCTGCCACAATCTTTTAAAACTCACTGTACTTGAATAAATACTCGAACTGGGATTCTTCAATTCAAGGAAACTTAGTGTTCTAGTAACCAAACCTCATGCACTACTTTCAAAGTTCCAGTCACTTTAGGATGAGCTTCTTTATTTCCTATGAAAAGGTTATTCTCATCTGTTAACACTCAATTTAGGGACTCTGGTGCACAACAGCATGCAGTGAGGCCACAGAAGAGCACAAAAGCATTTTTAAGCTTAGACAGTGGCATCAACAGTGGGGCAAACTTTATTCTCACTTGGTAAATCTGATGAAATGTCTTCTAGACTTTTGCAAGGCATTTTCCTAGCAGCACTCCTTTCCAAAGTTTTCAAGACAGGACTGGGTTCTTCTTCTGAACCTGTTACAAAACAAAATTGATGAACACTGCACGATACAAAAAAGATCCAGAAATCCAAGCTATTAATAAGCAATGGACATTGATATTGTAGGTTGAAAGGAGGCATCATGTCATAAGCTTCTATACTTTTATTTATAAGCCTAAGAAGCACTTCTTAGAAAAAAGTAAACGTTCTCCATTCTTGGTATATCCTTTAAAAACCATTTTCCTGGTCAAGAAATCTTTGCAAGCACAAATCATAAAAAACAAGATAACCACATAAATAGAAAAGTGACTCTTAGTCGTCTACACCTCTATTTTAGGCACATGATTCGTTCTGTGCCAGACTTTGAATCTTTCCACTTCACTTCTAGCTTTTGAAGACAACCACAAAGTGGTTTTAGGAGCATTAAAACAATTAGCTGAAAACCACAGAAGGCAGGATTCAGATGCTTAACAACTGTGTATAATCAGGTACACAGATGGGTATGGGTGAATTCTTCAGATCAACGAATGCAGGCTTTTTGGGATTCATGAGCTAATAAAATTTCCAACAAAATGTTGGAAAATGACACAAGGTAATCAACCTTTTATTAAGTCATTTTAAAGTTGGGGGGAGTCTATCATGTACTAATACATTTGCTTATTTATTTTTTTAAAAAAGCATATTAGAAAAAAAAGCATGTTAGGACCAACAGAGGGAAAAAAAGGGCATAATTTAAAAATAAGAATAGTCCTTTAAATAAAATACATCTAATGTTACAAAAAAATATCTCTAGCTGGTTCTTAACTTTTTCATTTTGACAGTGAAAACTCCATCATGGATTAACTCTGGTCTGAATATGGTCATTCATCACCGTTGTATCAATACTGCCTAGAACAGTGGCTGGCAATACGCACTTCAAAAATGTTTGCTAGGGGAGCCTGACTGGCTCAGCTGGTAGAGCATGTGACTCTTGATCTCAGGGTCATGAGTTCAAGCCCCATGTTGATCATGGAGCCTGCTTTAAAAAAAAGTCTACAAAATAAATCAATGATTCTATTAATAAGTCAGTGAATTTGAGATTTACTTCTCTACATGATACTTTCCTAAAATGTATCCCAGTTCTCCCCAGTACTGATTGGCATGCTAGAGCAAATGGATTCTAAGATGAATTAGATTTGGAATGCTCTGTGTTCAAATTTAAAGGTTTCCTACTACAAATCTTCTTGGAGACTTTGATATGCTAATAATGTGCATAACTTCCCAGCATTTCCAGACATATTTGACCAAGTTTTTTTTTTTTTTTTCTTTTTAAAGGAGCATACTGAAGCATTAGTTGATTAAGAGCTTAGCCACAGGTCAAACATATTAGGTTACTCACCAAAATTGTGGTGCCATTATAGTCAAGGTTCCTCCCTCCTCCACCCCACCCCTACCTGTTTGTTTTAAAATAAAAATTTAGGACAGAGTATATAAAACTAAATTCTACCATTTTATACCTTTTATTGACTTATAACTTTTAAAGATCTTTTCTGGGTGAGGTCATTTAATATTGATTATTTCATTTTTAGATAGGCTATTTGCTGTTCAATCAGTTATGCTGATATACCATAAACAAAGCTATATACATTAGGGGCAATAATCTCCAGAGTAAGTACAAATTCACAAGCTCTTCTATGGTCAGTTTACCCTCCTCACTCATGGGGTAATTTAGTAAAATAAAGTCTATCTCACCAAGCTTAACATGCTGACTTATACTCCTGCAAAAGTCTGGCATTCAGAGATTGGTATTCTACTTTCCCTTTCTTAAGGGAAAGGGTAGCCCTTTCTTTTTCTTTTTTTTTTTTTTTTAGATTTTTTTTTTTTTTTAAGTAGGCTCCATGCCCAACATGGGGCTTGAACTCATTACCTTGATTACGCTGTTTTATTTTATTTTATTTTTTTAATTTTAATTTATTTATGATAGTCACACAGAGAGAGAGAGAGAGGCAGAGACATAGGCAGAGGGAGAAGCAGGCTCCATGCACTGGGAGCCTGATGTGGGATTCGATCCTGGGTCTCCAGGATCCGCCCTGGGCCAAAGGCAGGCGCCAAACCGCTGCGCCACCCAGGGATCCCAGGGTAGCCCTTTCTTACCAGCAACCTTTCTTAGAGAGGCTTCAACTTGATTAATTAGGATTAAAGGTGGATCCTTTGGTCAGTTTTTTAAAAAGGCCCTATAGTTACTTGCAAAGGAAACCAAACCTCATGAATCATCTACTCAGCAAAGCTTATGCATTCTCATCAATAGTGAGTGGAGCTAGAAAATGATAAATTTTCTAAACTGCTAAGAGTGACCCATACCAGCCATTGTGCAACTGTGGATAAAATGTCCCAGTCAGAGAGCATTCTTTACCCTTTTATCACTATAATCGGGGAGTTTCACATTCTTATTTGCTTCTGGGTTTCTCTGCTAAAATGCCCATGTTGATCACGATGGCAAACTGAGACAGGTCCTGTATCTTACAGCCTGTATCTTACAGTTGCTGAAACCAGGACCCCTGAGTCCACTTAGATGGTAATCGATTGTGGTAATCGATTGTGGTAATCGATTAAGATCTTCATCCAATTAGCCAAATCTGGAGCCAAAGAAATACAGGCCAGGAAATGTCCTCAGGTGGAATCAAGTAAAGTCATCCAACCTAAGTCACACTCTGGAGAAAGGGAAGATTCTGCAGAAAATTGAAAATAAGAGGAAAACACCACAGCACAAGTATCTGAGGGAAAGAGAGTTCCAGCCTTGCACTCTGCTTCTGGCATTTAGCCACTAAATTCATCCTAAAAGGGAAATCTGTGCCCATTTCTCTGTGGCACTTTCTTGCCACAAATCTTACTAGAGACTTCTATGTGGATGGCCAGTTAAGAAAGAAATTCTAATTATTTCCAGGAGGAAAACTAGTTTGAATGTTTCAGAAGTATTTTCTAAACCCAAGAAGTTCTTTAAAAAATACTTTTAAAACCTAAAAATTCTATCGTTAATGAGAAAAAGAAGTCAGATTCTGAAACACTGCCTTGTGAGTAAAACTGTATGTAACTCACTTGATTAAAGAATGTAAGAGGAAATTAGCTTTTTATTAAGAAAGGCTAGGTAGACCTAAAGTGATAAGAACTGACCACCATTTGGGAGTGTCAAATTAATCTCAATTTTAAAAACCATATCATCCTTTACATCAGCATTCCCTAAATCAACTCATTAACCAACGGGTTAAGAAATTCAGAATGCTCACTGGAGTTTTTTCTCCAGCTTTCTGCACTGGAACCCACGTCTCCAGCTGAAAAATCAGAGTCAGAGAAACCTTCTTTTTCTTCTGTTTTCTCTTGTCTCTTACATGGTGATGCCAGAATCAATTCAACGTTGCTTGTTTCTGTAGGTTTTTCTGTGTTTCCCAGGAGAGAAATGGGTTGCCTATTTCTGACCACACTAATTGCTTTAGGAGCTTCTTCTGAGCAAGGCTCCAGAGACATTCCTTCTCGAACACCTGTAACCTCACTTTCACTATTCCTGTCCTCTGGGGGGTTTATAGTTTCAGCGACCCCTATTTTATGTTCCATATAAAGCTGTGGGGTTCTAGAGCTCTCAACCCCACCTTCAGAACCACAAAGATCTACTGATAAATCAGTCACAGGTTCATTGCCTCCCAGCACTTCATCGCACTGGTTGACGTGATATTTGAAAACATTACTCGTAAGCTTCATTTCAGAGGCCTCTGAGGCTGTCCAGTCACAACAGGGTACTGTCCTCAAGAAACTGGCTTGCTCTGACTGGGAAGACTCCTTCTCAGGAGTTTCTTCCTTCACTGACACCTGGAGCTGGGAAGAAGGAGCTTCAAAGGTTTCTCTAACAAGTTTCTTAAAACCAATATCAAAAGCACTCTCTGATATTGATGGAGCCTGAGACTTTTTTACCGTTTCTTTGATTTCCTCAGGATGGAATTCAGAAGCACTTTGCCTGGACACCTCAGTTCTATCTGTTAACTTTGATGGATAAAGAGCCCCTGTATCACTTTCATATTTTGAGGAGGGGGTTTCAATTGCTTCCTTCAGTAGTTTTTCTAACCCAGCACGGAGTTCTAGGAACTCTGATTTAGGTTGAATATCTGTCTCCCTTACAATTTCTGCTACTTCCTGAGTGACAGTGGAATCAGATGAAAGGTGAGTTTGTACTGATGGAGATACTGGGGCAGCTAAATAAGATCCAACGTTATGAGTTTTATCAGGAACTACTTTGAAGGAATAAAACCCCCTTTTGTCTGGAACCATAATGTCCATTGTAGCCCATAATGTAGAATTTTGGGGGCTACCTGCTGCCTGTACTCCTTCAGGAAATTCTGCGTTTACTTCTCCAGGCACTACTTCCCTCTCAACTGGGTAACATGCTTCTCTAACTAGCTTTTGTAATACAGCATTTACATCATTCAGGGCAGATTTAGGTGGAAGAATGACTTTTTCTACAGTTTCTGAAATTTCCCTTCTCGATGGTAATGCCTTATCCTGGGGAGCAAGATGAGCATTCCTGGAAGAAGGCATCTCTTGGGAAGAGTTGGCCACATCCCCAGAAGAATCTTTTCTGTAAAGACAGGAAGGTTGACCTGATGGGTGAGAACCTTCTGCAGGCATCTGATGTAAGTCCTCCATGTTGAGTTGGCACTCACCACTTTCATCTTTTGGGGGGAAAGCTTTAATTCCCAAAGTTTCTTTCCGCTTTGGAAAAGGAGCTATTTCTTTCTGATAGGCTGATGTGTTGTGACTCCCTTCTATTCCTTTTTCATAAATTCTACTACCCTCTTCAGGCTCAGAGTTGATCCTAGTAGTAACAGGTTCCAACATGATTGGCAAGGGACAGGGTGAAGTTCCAGTTGCTTCCTTCAGGAGTTTGTCTAGACCAGCAGTCCAAGTGTTCGGCTTAACCTTCAGAGGAGCTACTGTTTTATCTACATGCTCATTAATGGTCTCCTTATGTCCTTTGTCTTCTTCCTTAGTATCAGCAAAACCTGTATTTTGAGGCCATGTTTTATTTCCAGAAATATCTGGTTCCAACATTTGTTTTCCATGAGCTTTTCCACCAGAAGGATGCATGGCTAGTGATGAAGCTTCTGAAAGTAGCTTCTGTAAGCTGTCATTAAAAGTGTCTTTGTAGTCTTTAGACAAAACACTCGTTTTAACGATGGCTTCTTGAATCTCTTGGTCTGAGTAATCCTTTTCTTCCTTGAACACTGGTGTAACAAACCATTTTGTATTCTTTCCCACATTTTCCTTTGATGACTCGTTTCCTGGCAAATGATGAGTAGACTTTCTGGATGATCTCAATGGAAATATGGTTTCATCTGGTAACACCTGGAGTGCGCACTTTGAATTTAATTTCTCTGTTTCCTCTCTTGCCAGAATTTTTTTTTTACCTGGAACCGGCCCTATTTCATGGATGTTCTTTCCTGGTGACTTAATGTCACTGAATTCTTTGTGTTTCTGGCTATTAAAAGGCACTGAATATTTCTGGTTTATTGTGGTAGTATTCTTCTCAACATTATCTTCACTGTTTGGTTTGGCTCCTAAGTCCCAAAACTTTCTCAAATTCTCAAATTGAGAGCGGTTATAGACCTGTTCTGTATTGGGTTCATCCACTTTTTCTTTTAGGGACATAACTTTAAAGTTGGGATTCGATTCACCAATTAGAGATTTGTCTTTCTCCAAAGGAGTAGGAGTTCCACTCCCAATATTTGAAGGATGTTGCCATGCTGGTGAAGTAATGTCCCTTTCATGATGCCAACTCTCTGCCACTGGCAATCTTTTTATAGGCTCATTTATCTTATTCTGAAATGGAGATGCTTCACCTGATTGGTCAACTGAAGGGTAATTTTTGCATGGGCCTGATATCTGGGGCCTGGTTTCTTTTGATTTATTCGAGGAATAAAAACTGGAGAGATGGGCTGTGTGGCCACTTTCATCCAGGACCACTTGTTTGCTAGTGACTTGATTATATTCACTCTGGCCTGTAGATAAACTGTCCATGGACTTTACAGGCTGATACGCTTTAGCAGAAGGTTTCCCTTGACTGCATGACAATGATGGTTCTTTATGAGTTAACGTAGCAGCAGCTTTCTCACCTTCCCAGAAAGATATTCTTTCACTAACTCTTTTGTATTTCTCTCTTTGCACCTGGTTCTTGGGAACCTCACCAGTTTCTTGTAATTGGACTTCAGGCTTCTTCCAAGATTTGTTTTTGGTAGCCTCATGTAGGGACTCAATGTTCTCTGGCTGTAAAGAAGCTTTCAGGATGTATGTATCCCCTTCTTTGCTCTTTCTCTCTGCTTTCATGTTGTCTTTGAAACTTGGTTCTTTGACAAGTGTTGAAGAGTCAAAATTCACTTCTGACTTTCCCCTACTTTTTTCATAAACATGAAATTCAGGCTCTTCTTTACCTGAGCTGCCAATATTCTTAATGTGTGGAACTTGGTCTTCTGCATCAGCTCCTTTGAGAGCACTGTAGGAATAGTTTCTGGTAGGGCGAAGTACCTGATTTCTGTCTCCTATGTTTTTTGAACTTTGGCTATAGTCCATAGTTTTACTCCCTTGATTTGGGCCATAGATTTCAAAAGGTTGCAATATGCCTGGACCTTCCTTGCCTTGTTGGGACAAATTAATAGATTTGGGTTTTATATTTACATTATTATTTTGGCAATTTCCAGAAAGCAGCATATTTCCCTTCCTGTGGAATGTTGAATCAGATTCCATAGGCATCGATTTAACTTTGGTGGATAAGAGAGCCTTTGAGCCATTTTCTTTTACACTGGTGTCATCTGTCACCAAGGCAGTAGCAGTCTGTGATTCTGAGTTTGTTTCTTCTTTCGATTCTATTCTTTGGGGATGTTGGAGAGATGACTTATTGTCTTCTGAATGAGAACTTCGATTAAACCAGTCTAGGACTTTAGATATGGAATCATCAGTTGTCTTCCTTATCTCAGTGGCAAATGGACCAGAGTGTGAGGAGGTCCTAGCTTTTAGGGCCTTGAGAAGTGGGGGCTTACCTTGCTGATGGTCTCTAGAACTGTGATCTGGCACCTGAAATGGCTCAGGCTCAACACTAGACAGTCCATCTGCAACACAGAAATGCTTTTCTAAATAAGGAAAGAGAATGCTCAAAGAATTATTATTCAATCACTCACATTACTTTTTAAAGAGGCACTTTGTATTTATAGTTTCCACACCACTAGCTGTTTATATCAGCATTTTTCATGCTATAATATAAACCATCCTAATTAAGATTCTACCAGAGTTGCTCTACGACAGTAAAGGAAGGTAAATGAAGACTCCTGAAACATGAGGTATAGACCCAATTGAGAAATTCCTTTGAAGTCTCTTACTTATTCTGAAAATTCATATGGGGGTGCCTGGCTGGCTTGGTCAGTAGAGCATGCAACTCTTGACCTCAGGGTCATGAGTTCAAGCCTCAGATGGGGTATAGAGCTTACTTAAAAAAAAAAAGTTCATGTGGCTTTTGTATTCTGATCTATGTTTTTTTTTTTAAGATTTTATTTACTTTGTGAGAGAGCATGTGCACATGTGTGCACACAAACGTGCACTAACAGGGAGAAGCAGAGGGACAGGGAGAGAGAATCCCAAGCCAACTCCATCTGAGCATAGAGCCCAACATGAGGCTGGATCTCATGAGCCCAAGATCATGACCTCAGCAGAAACCAAGAGTTGGATGCTTAACTGATTGAGCCACCCAGGCACCTATGATCCATGTTAATTTTAAATATTTTTTTCTACTCTCAAATCCATTCATAAAACACTCTAGGAAGATACATCATGTTGATTTTATGATTCCACCCATCCATTGGCATACTCATAAATACTAGAGGGGGTTTACACCAAGTTTGAGGAACATGGACCAAGTTGATTTCAGGAATTAGGAAAACTTTTTGGAGTGCCCTCCAGAACATTAGCATGGTGCAATGAGGATATTTGTATTCCTGGGCCTTAGTCTTGATACATTAAACCAGAATCTCTGAAGAGGGATCCAGGAATCTTTACTAATAGCTATCCCAGTGATTGTTTTGCATGCTAGAGTTTGAGGACCATGATCTCAAGAGCCTCCTCTGTTACTCCCTATTTCCCTTCTACAGTTTGTGAGTTTCGAACTAGTTTCTGTGAGCCAAATAAACAAACAAGACTGATGCAGAATGTGATCTCTAACCATTCCCTGATGTTGGCTGACCAAAGGGTAAGAGGCTAGAGAAGATTATTTAAGCTCTAATATCAAGAATCCTTTCTGAGCCTTAATCATAGGGTACATGGTACATTTAGTTGAGGGAGCTCAGGCACTCTTCCCTTTAGTTAAGACCCAGGTGTTTCAGCATTCCTCTCTCTTCCTTACAGATGCTAAGCCATGCAATGTGTGTTCCTGAAAATTATGTCAGCTGAATTTTTATGAAGTCAGTTACATTTCAAATGCACTAGAGGACATATCAGTTAATAAAATTCTATCTTTAATTTTAATCATTGACTCAAGCTAAGCGTGAAAACAACAAAGAATTATACAATAATTGGCACATAGTAGATACTGGTTTCCTTAACTACACTTTGCACTATTGAATATATGTCAATAATGGTGAAGTTCTTTGAGAAATCTTGAAGAATTCTGTGTTCGTTTAACAGAAGACAATGATGAAAAAGATGATTGATTATAACATACTATTAGTAAGAACAAGAAGTCTGGTAGTATACACATAATTTACAATTATATTCATTCTTGAAAATTATTGAAAGGTCTCTAATTAAATGTTAGCGATACTTAGTGCTGGGTGATGACATCACAGATGGTATTCGTTTTATTCTGTGTGTATTTCTTCTTTTCAAATGTTTTACAACAAAAGTGTATTACTTTTAAAACAAGAACACTTATTTTAAAGATTTGGTACCAGGTAATGTTTCATTTTCTCTGAGGAATTCTTTTGTACTTCCCAATGTAGTAACGAATGTCATTTTAACTATACTGAAGGTCAGAGCTAAAGTCAACCCTTATAATTCACATACTTTGCGTTTACCATTTTGGGGGACTGATTTTCTTTTCAAGATTAATTATTTACTTGTATATATTTTTGTAGTAAGTAGCACAATAATAAGTAAGCAGAACTTTGTACATAAGCTCTAAGGCCAGGAGGCCAGTCAATCAAAATAAGTGTAGCTGATGATGCTACTAATTTCTTGGTCAGTTGGGATTCAAACATCAGAAAGCACAAGGGCACCTGCATGTTTCAGATGGCTAAACATCCGGCTCTTGATTTTTGCTCAGGTCATGATCTCAGGGTCATGGAATTGAGCCCCCTGTGGCAGTGGGGGTGGGGTCCATGCTCAGCCAGGAGTCTGATTGAGATTCACCCTCCTGCTCATGTGCACACTTTCCCTCTCTCTTTAAAATAAATAAATCTTTAAAAGTAAAAATAAAAATCAGAAAGCACAAATCAGTAGTTAATACTAACATACAGTCTGTCATTGTAGGAAGCAGGCAGTTTGAAAAACAGGAAAGGGTTTACCAAATTTTTCTGTGGATTATAATAAAGGAAAATATTATTAAATAATTTTTTTCATCTTTTGGACAAACATTTAAGCATCATTCAATTATTTGCCAATGTTTATCAAAATTTAGTAATTTCCTTTAATATGAGGGGCTTTTTTATTGAAGAAGCATTTGCTAATTTTTTATTTTTTAAAAAATAATTGTGTTTAAATTATTCAAAATGTCTGAGGCGCAGGAGGGTATTTGGTATTTGAAAGTGCTTTGCTCTTTAAGAGGTGGATTGATCTGAACAAGTATAAAACTGTAGGGCTGAGCAAAAGTGACCCAGGGTTAACTTAATATTGACTAATAAAGAAGGTGAGCAAGTGCATCAGACATGTGACTGCTGCCATTGTAAATTTTTCTAACTATAAGGAAATTATCATAAGGTTAGAAGAAGACTGGTAGAATATGGGAGAGAATGCACAGCATGATTTTTTCCATTGTTTCTGTTTTTTAAAACATAAGAATTATGAAGTACTCATATGGGTATGGGAAAACAGTGTCTCATCCCATGAGAGATGTAAAATCTTCAAGACAGCGCTAGTGAACTAGGTTGCAGGGAAAAACAGTATTTTGCTTCTCAGTTCTTACAATCTAAGAATAAATGGCTAAGAAAATGAAGGTTCAGAGCATCTGGGTGGCTCAGTGGGTTAGGTGTCTGACTTTGGCTCAGGTCATGATCTCAGGGTCCTGGGATAGAGACCTGAGTTGGGATCCTGGCTCAGTGGGTTAGGTGTCTGACTTTGGCTCAGGTCATGATCTCAGGGTCCTGGGATAGAGACCTGAGTTGGGATCCTGGCTCAGTGGGGAGTCTGCTTCTCTCTCTCCATCTGCCCATCCCCCCATTCATGCTCTGTCTCTCTCAAATAAAAAAAAATGAAGGTTCTTCTGAGATTAAAAAAAAAAAAATCTGGGGCACCTGGCTGGCCAGTCAGTGGAGTGTGCAACTCTTGATCTTGGGGTTGTGAATTCCAGCCCCATGTTGGGTGTAGAGATTACTTAAAAATAAACTCTTTAAAAAAAATCAAAGTTTAATTAAATGGTAATTGATAAATACGCATTAGGTGAATAATATATTCTGTACAAAGGTATTAGTCTATTTTTAATTCTTACTCTATGTACACACCTTGATTTAACTCAAAATGCTATAATTTGTTTACTTAAATAATTGATAGTTACATTTTTTAGGGAAAAGCAGAAACTGTGCTAACCTGGTTTTAGTTTTATTTATCCCTTTAGATATTGGTGACTGAGGAAAACCTCCAAACCCATTAAGAGGTAGGTAGTATAATCATTCCCCAGGGGCACCTCCCTGAATTGTAGCTGGAATGTCTAGGAGGCAAAATGGGGCTTTTACAGGGCTGGCCTGGCCATTCCAAGCCCATTGGGTTGGTTTTCATAGCCTAGTAGTGATGATTCTCTTACCAGCAGGGCTTTTAGACAATTCTGATTCAGGCCTTGATAATTCTGATGATTTAGCTTTCTGTTCATTGATGGTAGGTGGATTCTCAATGGACTCTGGTCTTGCAGTTAAAACTTCTGAGGGAGATTGATGCTCATTAATTGGAAAAGAACCAGATGTCACTGGCTGATGTGTTTCATTTTCTGATGCACTCGGGCTTGAGGCTGATTGATGTAAAGGCAAAGGCTTCCTGGATTGGGAAGGCTTAGCGTCATTCCAAAACTCATCTACATCCACATTATCTTCCATTCCATTCTTCAACCTGTCGGATTCTAAAACACTAAATTCTCCTACTTCCCGGCCATGGCTTAGCCCAGGAATCTGTGGGAGTTCATCCTTCACTGCAGAGAATCTCACATGCTTTAATGGCTCTGGTGAGTGTGAGGAGGAGTCATCCTCTAAAGAATGCTCCTTCTCAGAAAGTCTCTCATGGATGGTTAGGCCAGGTGACACAATTTTGCTTTTGGGTTCAAAGTTCTGATGAAAACGAACTATTTCTGAGTCTGTGCTGCTGGAACTGGAATTGCGCTTCAGGATTCCTCTTGGAGCTCCCCTTGTGCTCAGAGAGTCTGTCCCTTGTCTAGGAAAAGATTGCTTATCATCTTGTTTTAACTCCTGTGATTTGTGGAGCATTCTTCTGGCTTTAGGGATTGGAGCTTTGATTGGGGATCCCTTCTCAGGGCCTGGAAATGTTTGCTTTGGTTTCTCTAAATTTTGGCTTGAAATATCTGGGATAGGTGACTTTTCTTTTGCCTCTGACAATTCACCTGAAAATCAAAATACATTAGGTGACTTATCAAATGGAGAATAATCTAAAACACCTATCACAAATCTAATCTACATTTAGCAAAAGTAGTAAAATATTAAAGACAATAAAGTATTAGCATAAGGGCAGACCTAATTAAAAAGCATTTAAAAATTCATGCATGAACTTCATTGAACTAAACATTTAAGATTACTGCACTTTACACATATACTTTGTGGTATTTTTATACTCATTGAAATTTTTTTAGAAAAGAATTTTAAAATTCTTAAGGAGGGATCCCTGGGTGACGCAGCAGTTTTGCGCCTGCCTTTGGCCCAGGGCGTGATCCTGGAGACCCGGGATCGAATCCCACATCGGGCTCCCGGTGCATGGAGCCTGCTTCTCCCTCTGCCTATGTCTCTGCCTCTCTCTCTCTCTCTCTGTGACTATCATTAATAAATAAAAATTAAAAAAAATTAAAATTCTTAAGGAGGCTAAGGAAAAACATAGAAGTCGCTTTAAAAATTCTTATGTGGAAACCAGAAAAAGGAACTCAATTTTTTAAAAAGAAAATTGCAATTTTTTTAAAAAAGAAAATCTCTAAGACAAAAATTAATTTTTTCAGGAATGCCTGAGTGGTACAGTTGGCTAAGTGTCTAACTCTTGGTTTTGGCTCAGGTCATGATCTCAGGGTTGTGAGATCTAGCCCTGCATCAGGCTGTGCACTCAGTATGGAGTCTGCTTGAGACTCTCTCTCCCTCTCCTTCTGCCCCTTCCCACTTGCTCTCTCTTGCTCTCAAATAAATAAATCTTTTTTTTTTAAGATTTTATTTATTCATGAGAAACACAGAGAAAGAGCAGAGACACAGGCAGAGAGAGAAGCAGGTTTCCTGTGGGGAGCCTGATGTGGGACTTGATCACAGCACCTTGGGATCACAACCTGAGCCAATGGCAGACGCTCAACCACTGAGCCACCCAGGCACCTCTCAAATAAATAAATCTTTAAAAAAGAAACACAAAAACTTTTTCAAAAAGTTAAAAAAAAAAGAGAACATGTTCCAGTGTTTTTTTTCTGTAAAATATTTTACATAATATGTAATATGTATATCCAATAGAGAGGGGGAAATACACTAATATCAACATGGATAACTAAAACTCCAACTCCACTATTCAATGTTAATTTTCTACCCCTTGTCCAATCTTTAATGCCTGTGGAATCTTCTAACAGCTGTTTTTGAAGAGATTGAATTTTCTAGTATTCTTAATGGTATGGAAGAATGGTAAAATTCTGTAAGAGGCAGACTTAAATTAACTAAGCCACAAACCATGCTCGCTTCAGCAGCACATGTACTAAAACTAACCACAAACCTGATCAAATGCCTCCTGAAGGACAAGGCTGATAGTTACAGATTAGAGGATCATAATGTTGTCAAGCGGCCTTTTTTTCTTGAGACAACCTTTTTCAATTTTACCTGAACTGTGTCTGCATGTGGTAGGCATTCAATACGTGCTGTTAAATGAATGAATGAATGAATGCCTCCCCTCCAAAAATTCCCTAGTTCACTAAGGGGGAACCCAAGGCCTGGAAGTCAAACAAGTGTCAGCTCCACGACTGGAATGCATGAACTCCCTGTTTCTAAAATTTCTGCTTCCTTCCCTCAGGCAAGAAACCAATGGGCAGAGTAAAATAAGAAAATCATCAGGACTTTTCACTTTCTCTTGCAAGTTATTTTAGTTAAAGGAACTCTGAGAATTTCCCTTAGTCCACAGAAAATGAAGATAAAAATATCTAGTCCATAAAAATAATATTTACCTTCTTTTGAAGTCTGAGAGAAACCAGCCTTTCCATTTTTTGACGTCTCACCTTTGGTTTGTTGAGATAAGTGATCTTCTGGCAACTTGGAGCTGTTAAACGGATTCTTCCTTTGCTGGGGAAAAATATTGTTTATTAAACTTGTTTTAAATGTCACAGCAGCAGCTCAATATTAGCAAATGCTTATTATCTCCAATATTGATAGTTGTATCCAGTGAACTCTATTTGGTATGTTTAAAAAATTACCGTCCTGGTTAATCTGGCTGGCACAGAATTGCCATATATGCCAGAGAAAAATTAAACTATATAAAATATACTCAATCCAGGGTCCTACAAATTTAGATCAGAACCAGTTATTCGAATCTAAACCTCGCATTTTACAAAGGTGAGAAAATTTGGACCTGGTCAAAGTTAGAGTAAATCAGAGACTAATCGGAGCAGAGTTCCCCAGTGCTCTTTCTACCATATGAGATTCTTGCTGTCCTTGATTAAAGGTAAACTAAATATAATTGTAAATGACCTTTCCTATAAAGAATTAGAAGACACTTATCAAGGTATTTGAAGTGCTTCATTATCACTATTATGATCAATTCCAATGACAGGGAATCAGTAAATAGAAATTTTAAATTAATACAAAACTGATTATGAATGTTTACCATCTAGAGTTTCATAAATTGGCAATTCCCTCCCACAAGCAGACATGTAACACAGATTCAGGAAACTATGACTAGGAATGTGGACCGAAATGCAACTAACTAGCCACATTCTGAATGCTTAAAAAGCAGCAATCCCCAATAATTTGACTTTTTATTCTCTAGAGAATATTCAGCAATGCAGAAACATGGTATTCATCAATTTTTCCACCATAAGAGTGGCTTCTTACATCAAATAGTAAAAATTATCTGTACTTGGTGCCAAAAAGTCCTCTTTATTTCGTGGTGCTTTGCTAAAATGAGAAAAATGGCATTCTTGCCAAAAATAAGATATTTGGAGGCTGAGCTCAATCTACCTTAGCTGGAGACACAGTGGACTTCCTTGTGTTTTCCCGGGTATCAATCACGGTGGAGGCTGGATTTACCATGCTAGAAATGTAAAAGAAACAATAATTCAGAGAATAAACCCTTACTTTTTGAGGAAGCATAAATCATGACTCTGAAGCTTAGAGCTATTAAGGCAGGACAGCAGAGGAAGTTTGTAAAACCAAACTGCTAGAAAGAGAGAGGGAATTGGGGCCTAAAGATGATTAAGCAGCGAAGCAAAGGCAAAGGCAGAGCAGAAATGAGAGGTTGGCGTGAGAAAAGCAAAACCATCCAGCAGAAGCCTTGAAGGTTTTTTTTTTTTTTTTTTTTTTTTTTAGCCTTGAAGGTTTTATCATGGTACCAAGCACACAAGAGGTTCACAATGTGAATTTGTGGAAATGAACTCATCTCAAAGTCAGCAGCTAACATCAGGTGCAGATGACAGGGAGCCACTGATCTCAAGGTGGTGGGGGGAGGGGATGTCAGTGCTGAAATGAAGGCCCAAAGTGTGTCAGGGCTTGATTTCACAGAATCGCAGTGCTCACTGTAACTCAAGTGGGAAATAACTGAAGAAAAGACTCAGGTGAGACCAGTGACTTGACAGCACACTGTGCAGGGAGGCAGTGGCGTTCTGGCATCTTGCTAAGGACTCTCAACCCAACTCTCCAGGCTAGCCAGTGAGTTCTTAGTTCAATACAAGAGGGATAAGGCCAAGCATAGCAGCCAGAAGATGATGGGAGAATAGAAACCTAGAGCTGGCTCAGAAGAATAAATAAGATTCTCTACCCAAAGGGCAGGACAGCCCCAGGATGAGAGCGAGGTAAGAGTAAATGGAGAGAAGTGAGTTTAGCAGGGCTCCTTCCTGAACAACCACTCCCATGGCTATTGAGAAAGAAGGGGAAAAGAGAGTCAGAGTGGCCCTAGAGAATGAAGAAAACCACCTGCTCAGACTTCCTGCTCCAGTGGCCTTGCCTCAGGCATCAAATGTGAAGTCACTATTGGCTGAAACCACTGTGCCCACTTAGACTCCACATGTCCCCTTAGTGATGTCACAGAGTCAAAAACTTGGAAAATACCTGGAAAGGTGCTGGCATTACACCATAACGGAAGCAGAGGTTGCGGAAGGAGAGCAATGTGCCCCAAGGACACGGAGCCCGGCCCAAGAATACAGTGACTCCAGTTGTAGGCTACATGTTTCTATGGCTTCCTTTCCTTCCCTCTGCATTCCAGTTGTTATTTCTGCAGAGACTTAGTCTCAGGAAGAGACTGAACTTCTATGGAGGCCATGTTCCCTCTCATTACCCTACTCATTGTTCCAGAAAGGAATTGTGGCAGATGAGGCAGATGTATATAAAATACATCGTGATCACGTGGATGTGACAAAGAGTGGGGGAAAGGACGGGAAGGGGAAGAGCAGGGAACAAGAATGGGAATTTATAATGGAGCCAGAATTAAGGCTAATAGAAAAACACATCATTGGAGTCTGGAAGGCTCAAACTTCTATCAAGCCTTCTAGCAGTCAATGTGAAAAAAAGCAGCTGGTCACTAAGAGAACTCAGTCCACACTATAAAAACAACCAATAGCTCAGGATTAGAAAGCAATTTATCTTGACTGCCATCTTAAGACACCACTGAGTGACATGGGGAACCTTACAGCACATGCCAGGCTCAGTTTCTTAGACCATTTTATATTATCTCCTTATAAATAAAGCATTCACATGATCAGAAGACCTGAACCAAGTGCTGCTGGGTCAGGGCTGTCCACGGAACACACATCTTCTGCCACCTTGTTCCTTTCTCCTCTTACTCACCAAGAACAAAGGATAAGCAGAACCACTGCACTTTCTCCTCCCCGCTCCTTGGAAACTCAGGTCCCTAGCTCTGAGTACCTCTATCTCACATCATAAAACTAGACATGAACTCAATCTCTGTCTTACTAAACTCTATCAAGCAATGTACATCATGACAACTATGTAACCTCCTCCTGTGCACATGTATCTGATCTCTCACAGCCAACTGGGAGATCCCTCAGTAGTACCATCTTGACCATCACTCTATCCCCCTGCAATGTCGTGTAGAGCAGCTGGGCCACAGATGGAGAACAACTAAAAAGGTGAAGGCCACTGAACCAGCGCCAAGGAAGATGGAAGCAGATAGGCAACCATGAGCTTTCCTTTAAAAATCCATGTTATCTGCCAAACAACAACAAGGCATATTATATAGTTTTTTTTTAAAGTCTTTGTTTCTTAACTCAGAAAGCAAAAGAGAGGAAGAAACAACACATTCAGAGCACACAGCTGTACACTAAAATACAGAAATACACAGTACTCATCAGGTTAGGATGTAGTTGGGAGAGAGGAAAATGAGATGAGGTTGGGACACGTGGTTAGCTACTTGGTTAGTCTGCTTACTTTGAAAAAATGAAACAAGAGTCTTAGACCTCAAAGTCTGTCTGTAAAAATATAGCTACTTCTTAAACTCTGGGTTTACTTCTCTTGAGGAATACAGCAACGTTTGGCATGCCTGCCTATTATTTGGCAACCATCATTACAGCAACCATCTTATCTTCTATTGATTTTTGCAACATCCCTGGGAGGTATGTACCTTTCTCCTCATTTGACTCATAAGAAAACCAAGCCTTGGGAAGGTTGAGGAATCTGCTGGATGTTACAAAATGAGTTCAGGAAGAGCTGGGGATTTGAGCCAGGTGTGTCTGACCATGACCCCAAAGAACATCATAACAATGGCAAGGCTATTCTGCCTCTGATTTCTCACAGTAACAAAGCAATGGTTTATGGGACGCCTCGGTGGCTCAGTGGTTGAGTATCTGCCTTCAGCTCAGGGCATGATCCCAGGGTTCTGGGATCGAGTCCTGCACAGGCTTCCCGTTGGGAGCCTGCTTCTCCCTCTGCCTATCTCCCTCTGCCTATGTCTCTGCCTCTCTGTGTCTCTCATGAATGAATGAATGAATGAATGAATGAATGAATGAATGAATAAATACTTATTTAAAAAAAAGGCAGTGGTTTATAGCAAGATGACTGAGGTCCAAGTGATTCTTCCTTCCCAGTCACTCTCACATCTGTCACTTCCTTTCCAGGTGTACTGTTACCTCCTATATTTCTGTTGACTATTAACTTCACATCTGACCTACTGATTCTGAAGTTCCACCCCTCTAATCCATTCAGCATTCCACCAGTAAGCTGGGATGATCTCAAATACAACTTTGATCATGTTGCTCCTCTCCTCGTTACCTTTCCCTGGATTCCCCAAGGTCTGTGGGATGAAGTTGGAACTTGTCAGGAAGGAACTGGAGATCCTCCATCATCTACTCAGTATATTTTCTTCCTTTCTGTTGACGCTTTATGCTAAACAAAGCTGTCTATCTACTCATTACAGCCAAAACTCTCTTGACTGGTTGTTATCTCCACTCAGCCTATCCCCCAGCCCAGCCTTCACGTATTTTGCTGTGCTCTCAGCCCTTGCTCTCAGCTTCAAGCCCAGTCCAAATATCACTGCCTGGTGATTCTGCTCTGGTATCAACCCAGGTGGAAGTGGGTCTCCTTGTCTCGAATCTTATAGCACATTTCATTGGTTCTTTGGATTAGAAACTTGCTGTCTGGCACTATTTATCATATGATCAGATATTCACATACGGATGCATAATTTTTCCTAAAAGAGTATAGTCTCTTTATAGTCAGATACTATGTCTTTGTTTCTTGGAATCCCTCTTGGAGGCAGTAGACTGTGTCCTGAATATAAAAGACATTCAGTACACTCCACAAGATGCTCTTTTTAAACTGTAGCAAGCCAAATTCCACACCCTGTGCTTGTAATAGCTCCCTCAGGCACCCTTCAAAAACTACCTGCCAGAAGGAACACTTAGACAGAATGTGTTTACTTTGTTAAAAGAATTATTCAAGTATTACATTATGATGTTGGCATTAGGGTTAAAAGTATCTGCATTTTAACATACCTCTTTGAAGACTTAACTATAAAGAAATAATAACGTTAGGTACTGTTGCAAGGACACTGGGGGAGAGAGGTGAGGCTTTAAATTACACTACATAGGCAGCCATACACTCCATCTGCTGTGTCCAGCCATAAAGTGCTCCTAAGTACATGAAAGCAACTTTTAAAAGCTTTGGACCTAAATAGGCCTTTCTCACTTAAATACTTAAAAATAAAAGCAGACCTCTTATACTTTTTGAGGTATTTAGCAGCTTAAATATTAACAGTGCTGAATCAGAAGTAAACTCTGCAAGTGATTTTTTTCACGTGTTGTTGTTGTGACCTCTCCCTTTGGATGGTGAGGTCCTTGTAAGTTAATGCTGTATCACATCCCCAGCACCCAGCACCATGCTGGCATATGTTACACTCAGTGAAGCTCGAACACATGAATAAACAAAAGAAATGGCTCAGGGATAAAGGGAGGGAGTAAGTTAGAAAATATGCTAGGCCAAGCCTTTCAAGTCAGTATTTTTTTAAGTAAAACATTACTTCTCTGGTGCCACCACACTGCACGCTATAGATTTCTCTAATGTGTATAGTCTCAGCCAAGTGTAAGACACTCTGATGTCACAGTGAAACTATTTCCACCACAAGTGATGTGGGCAAATCCAAGAGTCTATGAGATTAAAAAAGATTGTTTTAAAGAGCTCAATATAAGGGATTCTGTGGGGCAGGCCTCTAAGAAATGAAATGGTCACATCACTGGATACGCAATGCATCCAAGAACAAAGATCAAGTGTACTGTCCATAGATGGGCATCTCTACCTTGCTTTTGTGAGCCAGCTAGGTGCCTCACATCGATCTTATTATTGAAGGGTTAGAGGTAAATAGCTAATCCATCTGTAAGACAGCGATAGGGAGGGGGAGGGGGAAAAAGAGAGAGAGAGATTGAGAGAGAATAAACAAAAGCCTTCCAGGAAAAAGAACATTAGAAAAACTAATACTATTTCAGAACTAAAGACTTGGTTTTTGTAGGTTTCTTTTAAATTTTAAATGTTTGATTTCCTTTCCAGTATATTATCTCTAGGTATCCTTGGCAAAAGTAAAGTCTCATT